CCAGCGGGGTTAGTTTGCTAGTACCCACGGGGCTTGTAGGGCGAGGAGGGCCCTGGAGCTCCGGGCGATTAGCGCTGGCCCTACCGCGTCAGTAGGTTCCAGTAGGTACCTGTACGGGGTGCTTGGCCCGGGGGCGCAGCGGAAGTGCACCTCAGGGCAAAAACAGGCGAGTCTGTGAAGAGCGCCTGCAGAACTACTATGTACTACTTAGGTACCTATCTTGCATCAATCCTAACCACCTGTTAACAGCACCCTCCAGCGCACCGGAACGGGTTGTGGGATGCTCAGCCTTGGAGAAATGGAGAAGACGCCCGATTGCCTGAGCGGCTGCTGCTAGTGGAAAGTTGTTCCGGAGCGCGGGTCCGTGTCTCTCGGGATGCCATCAGGAACAAGTATTACCGCCAGAATAGGATCTGAGGGCTCGTACAGGTACCCGCGAGAAACGGGCATTCCTACAATTGTGTTCTGGATGCTAGGTACCATCTGTGGTCAGGGTTCGAGCCTCATGCTCCTGCAAGCTGGCAGAAACGGTGATTTCCCCGCCATTGAGCAAAGCCACCTCTTGCGTCAGACCTCAAAACGAAACATGAAGACTTGGACAGATGAGGGTATGTAGCATCGAGGCTAAACCGCCAAAAACTCTCTTCACATGCGCCAATGGCCACCCAGTACCGGCTCATCCACGCAACAGACGGCCTCAAGTGCCGAAGAAGGCGAGGAATGTTCTTTATGTAATGCTACCCTGGGGATCCGTCAGCAATGATCGGAGTCTGCACGGCTTACCTCCGTAAGTACACTTGTGCTTTGCTTCCAGTGGCCGCAAGACAATGAAAAATGGAGCGGCCTTTTAGGGGACCATATTGGTGGCTGTGACACCGAGACACTTTTTCTTTGTGTAAGTTGGGGCATTGTGGCGGGTTTGCGGGTGCAACATGTGAGACATTGCGCATGAAGAGCGTATTGCGGTGAGCCAGCCATTTAACCGCTGGATACCTTACTTACCTAGGTATGTATACGAGTACTTTTGATACGGCAGGTGATGGGATGTTGTGACTCTGGCAAGCCTGAATCACTATCGAGAAATTAGATCTGATAACAATGAGAATTGGAGGCTATGGAGATGATTGATAAACCTGTATGTATCCGTACATGTAATTTGCTCTTCATCAAGGATCTTATATTGCTACTACTAGTAGTAGTAGGTATCTATCACGAGGTTGAGGGAGAGTTCAGGGAGTAGCGGACCACGGAAAGCCTAATTCAGTTCTTTCCTATATACATACATTGGGTCTACTGCTTTTGGGGAGGAGATTCAGTTGCACCTGCTGGCCTGTTCATCTAGTATTATATACGACGGCCTACTCTAGGCTTGGAATTGCGAGCAAACTCATGCCTTACAAGCCACGACTATCCACAGCTCTGCACGAGGTGTCCGTTATTCCGCTCATCCTTCTAACGCTTCTTCCTGGCAAGCCTGGATGCTCGTTGCTTTTCGTCGGGCAATTCTCATGGATGGCCTCATGTGAGTCCTCCGTCTGACCACCAGACCAGTGTCCAATTCCGGTCCCAACACCGATCCCGAATCCCATCTCAACGGGGCTTAGCGATAGGCTCCTGCTCTGGCTCCCCATTCTGAGACCTCAGACATGATGCCTCCTCGAACTGATTGGTGCTCTATCTTGCATGACACCGCCAGGCATTACATTCCATTCGCTGATCAGACATGTCCGAGGCATAGTGCTGACGGCGCTGTGATTCCCGTATCTGCTCCTAGCAGACAGTCCGCCGTCACTGATTCGTACTCCCATTCAGGCTCATAGCCTCCCCGAGCTCGTCTACAACCTCTTGTCTCGCCCGGTCCCGAGTGTGGTGGCTTCAGTTGATCTTCAAACACATCAAAGACGCTCGCTTCGTCTGTGCAGGTGACGTCCTGCTAGCGGGCAAGTCGGCCATTGCCATCTTCATCGCTATCGATCATTGTTCCTGGTCCGAAGTCATCGTTCATAGCCAGGCGCTTGCAATACGCCTGGGCCAATGCCGGTACTACCTTAGAATGCCAGGCGTCAACTGCGGCTCATGCCCTTCTTGGGCTGGACCTCTGGGCCATGGGCATGCCAAAGGTGAGCTGCAGCCGGCACAGGGACAATATTGGCGCTCGATAGAGCCTTTGCCCGGCTTGTCATGTGTTCAGGGGGGGGCTTCGATCTGTAAGTGCCCCTCCGGTCGTCATTTGCGTGCAGCAGCTATGATTTCATGGACGGCTTTGTACCGCGAATTCATGTCATAGGGAAAGACCAGCTCTGTTGACTTGAATCGAACTCAGAGGCTCATCAGCTTCAGTGAGGCCACCCGCCTCAGCATCAGGAGCCGCTTCCGAGACGTGCCATTGACCATATTGCAATTTTCTGTACGAAAGTGTAGAAGCGTCGATGCTTCTTCTTCTCGTGCCGTCCCGAGAACAGACAGGGTACAGGGCATCACGGGTCGAGAAACATGACGGGAGCGGTGCATGCAGTTACGAGTCACAGACCTCGCAGTCACGACTCCATGCTACACCTGTGCCGTACTTCTTCCTGGCTGATCAATCTCGGGGTTTCGGGCCTCTTCAAGCTCGAAATGGGCTGTCGTGCTTTTTGACAAGTGCTGGTGAGATCGCTGCGGTCCTTCAACCTCAGCCGGGCTGCGAAATGACATGGTATTCGGTTTCCTGTTTGCATGCTGCTAACGATGAAGTTGTCTAGTGGGATATGCATCCCAAACGCACCGCCCCTTCGAGATTGCAGCTCCTGCAGAGCTAAACAGCGCAACACTGTGCGAACGCCGAGCAGTGGATTGGCCTGCTGCCCTGGGAGGTTCATTTTCTCCCAGTTTGTGCGTTTCCACTCCCTCTCGCTCTTCTAGTCCCGCCGCCGCTCGCTTCAACGCTAGAGGCCAGAAATGGGAGGTGTGAAGACGGCCGACCAGAGAGCCACTGAGCTCTTTGGCAGAGCTGCCTGAGGGAGCTTGAGCTTGAAGCTGTTACTGTACGAGACATCACACTGTCGGAACAAGTGGGAGCGAGGGAACATGAACAGGAGGGATAGTCCAGGACCAAACAAGCCCCCTCTGCCGATCTGGGGGCCTCGTACGAAGTCAGACATACATACGGATCTAGTATTTTCTACTTCTTCGTTTAACGGTGTGCATGATACATACCAGCTTCGCCGGTTTGCTCAATCCTACCAGGCCTGCACGACAATGGCGCCTGGGTGTCACGGTTCTAGAGCGTTTCTCTCCGAAAGCACCCAAGCCTCATCATCGCCACCCCTCACATGCGCTCGCATCCTGCTTGCTTCCGGGTGAATGCCCCGTTGCCCATCACGACGACAGCCGACTGCGACGACACCCACAGGATGCGATGCTCTCTTGCTTGACTACCTAGTCAGAGTTGGTGCCGTTGGCCTAGTGATGGCCTCTCTTGCACCGCACGTTGCTTCCGACGAAAGATCAGCCAGTTGGCCCAGCACGGCAGCCCTGCTTGTACAGTGCCGATTGAGCGCAGGACAGCGGCAATTACCCGCTCCAGCGATTCGAGGCCCAATCCGATGCCGCGGGATGCCACCCGGAACGCCGATGCTGCTGCTTGTTATTAATGCCATTACCTCGATGTTATGTGCTGGAAACCACCGCACCGCTTACGTGACGTGGCGTGGTTGCAGCAGCCGTGTGCCGTGCCGTGCCAATTCAGTCAAGTCTTGCAGACAACTTGAATGTGGACGTGATGTACGAGGCACGAAGGCGGTAATAATGGCATGAACAGGAAGTGCCATGTGCATGTGTCGATGTATTATCCTAGGTACCTATGCAGCGATATGAGAGAGCGGGCGCTGTTTGCACAGAGTGGTTGACGGCGTCATCTCATGCCATCGGGCTGCTTGTCTCTACAACTCCAGCTCTTCCTCTGGTATGTACCACGCATGTTGTATCTCTTGTGCTCGCCTCTCGCCGTCTCCAAGCCTGCTCCAGCCATACATGTTTCTGGCTCGTTTCACAGCACGCATGGGGGGGGATGAAATGTTGCGGGACGCTTCCAACAGCCCTCCAAGCCCGCTAGAGCCGCCAAGGATCACCCCCCGTAGTCCTCACTGTGCAGCGCAGTGCAGCGCCTGGCTGCGCTATAACCCGCGCTATGCCTGCGCTGTGGCTAGTAGCAGAGTTTGGAGGCGGCCTGGGAGGGTTGGATCAGGCGGGTAAAGGGCCAGGCGAGATGGTGTGCCGTGATTGGCTCACGGCCACTGGCCCCCCGCTTAATGTGTCATGGGGGGTGAACGAGGGCGATTGCTCCCAGAGGTATTCCCGTACCTGGGCGAACGGGCAATTGAGCCATCGTGAAGAACGAACCGAACCACTCCCGTGAGCTGACCTGCGGCCTCTCTGTCCCTGTTGTGCGTGGTGCCTCGCCAGCGATTGTTTGCTTCTGGACGAATCCGTCGCCGTTTCGAATCGGTCGTTTCGCAGCTCCCGGCAAGCGTGTCGTCTTTGGAGTGCTGAGAGAGAAAGAAGAGAGAAGAGAAGAGAGAGTCGGCCGCCGAGCTCGTTCCTGGCTGCTGCGTCCGCCTGGGCCGTGGGGGATTTGCCTGCAGGGCATCCTCTTGTTTTTTTTTCTTCTTCTTCTTCCTTTCCTTAGGTCTCACGGCCTCCCCCTCGACGAGGCACCCTGTCAGGCCTGCCCGCTGCCGGAGTGCACGAAGCCACGCCACCGACAGAAGCGAGAATCGAGAGAGCGACATAAACCGAAAGAGCGGAACCAGAACGACTGCTGTGATCCTTCGCCGGCCGTCTTCAGTCATGTATCCGAGCTCCATGGGTCTGTAGCTCTGGCCGCCTCGCCAGACCCCCGAGTCTCTCGACCGAAGAAAACTCCAGCTTCCCCCCGCCGTCACCGCCGTCAGCAGCGGCCACCGTCCCCTCCGTACCCCGGGCGCCTCAGCAGCGGCGGCGCTGCCTCCTCCTCGCCCGTCATGGACAAGCCGTCCTCTCCCGCCGTCGCCTCGCTGGCCCCGCCGGCCGTCTCGTCGCTGCGAGCCCAGCAGGCCACGGCCATGGAACGGTCCATCAGCCAGGACATCCGGGAAGAGCGTGAGGAACTGCGTGAGGCCGCCGAGCAGACGCTGAATGCGATTGCCTACCTCAACCTCGACGGCACCATCAAGTGGGTGAGCCCTTCGTGGACCGATGTCGTGGGCACGCCGTCCGAGTCCGTTGAGGGCGTCCCCATATCCGATCTGATAGTCGGCGAGAATAAGAACATCTTTACCGATGTGGTCGAGTCGATGAAGCGGGACGACTCCAAGAGCCACAGGGTCCGCTTCTCCGTCGCCTTGGGCCCTCTGTCCAAGCTGCGCTCGTTGGAGAGTCTTCAGCCTCTCGATCCATCTCAGCCCTTACCGACGGAGGTGGCCGACCTTGAGGCACAGGGTATCATGGTGTATGACAGTGCGTCGGGCGGTGAAAGTCATGTAGGTGCTTCTCGTTTTAAACTGAAAGCATATGAACAAGAAAGAGAGGGAGAGACATTGATTGGAGTGTTGCTACTGCTCCTCGGCTCTGCTCTCTTGGTTTACTGACTGGTTGATTCTCCAGACAATGTGGATGATTCGTCCATGGATACCCCACGAAGTGCAAATCGATCTTCCCGCTGTGATTGTCGACTCTTTGGGATCGGGAGCCGAAATCCTCGCCGGAATACTCACCCGCATAGCTGAAGCTGCAGGCGAAGACGGACAAGAACCAGAGCTTCCGCCGCCGGTCCTCTGTCGCATCTGTGAGCGTCAAATACCTCCCTGGTGGTTCGAAAAGCACACAGACCTCTGTCTTCAAGAACACCATGCCGAAATGGAAGTGCAAATGGCCCAGGAGAACCTGAGTGAACATAGAAACCACATCGTCAAGGTCCTCGACGCTTTGGAATCACGCAAGAGCCGATCGTTGAGTGGCGGTGACTCGCCCAATCTCCCGGTGGCTGAATACAAGGGGCAGCCGATTGGGCCTCCTCCCTCAGCACAGTCGTCCCCGGGGACTTCGCTCGCCCGCTCGCGCGAAAGGCCCGGCAGTTTTGGACACTCCAGAGCCCGGTCCTTCGCCATCCGCCGGCCACAGGCACGCATCGTCGAGCTCCTGCTCGATCTATGCGACACCGCCATCGAAATCAGCTGCCCGGGCATCAAGGAGAGCTCTTCCCAGCAGGGCAACTGGGAACTGCGTACGCAGTCGCCTCAATCAGAATCGAGAATCTCACAGGTGCTCCAGTGGCAGTCGCCAAGCTCCAACACGCTCGAGCAGGAACAAGGTTTGGCCTTGCTCTGTGAGGACACTGAAAAGGTGGCTCGAGCCAAGGTGGATGCCGTCTTTCGCCATCGGCAAATCATTGAATATGCGGAGCGAATCCGTATCGAGTTCGCGGTCCTTGTGCAAGACTTGATTGATGAGGCCACCAGGAAAGCCGCTCGCATCGCCGAGGGGCGCTACAGCGATTCCACCGAGGACGAACTCGATGAGTCGCAGATACCGTACACGGAGGATGTCGAAGTGAGGAGCGAAGCCGAAGAGCCGCAGAGTCGCGGTGGCGACGAACAGTTTGAGAACACCATGACCAGTCCGTCAGCTTTGGCTGCGGCGCTTCGTCAGGTCGACATGTCTGGGGGGCTTGGACGCTCTCGCCCGACATCCTTTGTGGGCTCCACTAGGTCTAGCAGTCCTAGAGAATGTCCGACTCCCCGATCCCATCCCGGAGGGCTGAGCATCCTGAGCCAGTCTCGAGATTCGCGTCGGGGGTCGACTCTTCCTGTTGAGAGCGAGATTGGCGAAAGCGAGGGAAGCCTACGGTCGTCGTCAGTGGCCTCGCGAGGGCACAACAGGACCGAGTCGCCCATTTCCGAGTTTGGGGACCTCCGACGCGCAGCGAGCTCCAGGAGGCATAGGCGGAGCTTGGTGATCCCAGATACGGCTTCCCCTCGACGGCAGGAGTCTCCGTCACGGATGATGACGCAGCCGTCCTCCCCCCTGAGAATCAAGGCTCGTGTGATACCCCAAGCGCACGAGAACATTGCCTCGCCAGAGGCATCACCCATGTTCCCTAGCAGTGAGTTCAGCTCGCCTATTACACATCCATCTAGACACCATAGAAGACAGTCTTCCGCTGCCATATCCGACTTCGTAATGAAGCCGCCGCCGTCCCCACGGCTCAATGCCAACAACCAGCCGCCGCCGCAGCCGAGGTCGTCGCAGCCGTCGATCAAAGATTTCGAGATCATCAAGCCCATCAGCAAGGGTGCTTTTGGCAGCGTCTATCTCTCCAAGAAGAAATCTACCGGAGAGTACTTCGCCATCAAGGTGCTGAAGAAGGCCGACATGGTTGCCAAGAATCAAGTCGGTAACGTCAAGGCCGAGCGTGCCATCATGATGTGGCAAGGGCAAAGCGATTTCGTTGCGAAGCTGTACTGGACATTTTCTAGCAAGGACTACCTGTACCTTGTTATGGAGTATCTCAACGGAGGTGACTGCGCCTCTCTCATCAAAGTGCTGGGCGGGCTTCCCGAGGACTGGGTCAAAAAGTACATTGCAGAGGTTGTCATGGGAGTTGAGCATCTCCACGAGCGAGGCGTCATTCACAGAGACCTTAAGCCAGACAACCTATTGATTGATCAAAAGGGCCATTTGAAGCTGACGGATTTTGGACTCTCGCGAATGGGCTTGGTCGGCCGCCAGAAGAGAGCTCTGAACAGCGATCACACGGATTCTACGCCCGACCTGCTCAAGCAGGGGCCATTCGCTCGTTCGACGTCCATGGCATCCTCACGATCGACTTCACTGGACATTCCATCGCATTCCCCCGGTGCAACCCCCCAAATGACGCCAGACGTCGGCAGTATAGGACAGCCATCGTACTTCAGCCTTGGGCCTGCCCAGTCCGACCCCCGCCGCATTTCGAACAGCCATCGAAGCGACAGCGGTGGGAGCGAAACACTGAGCCGCATGCTCACGACCTTCTCCATTCAGGACTCCGAGGCCGGCTCTCAGCCACCGAGCGCCCGGCTCTTGATGGACGAGGACGCCGTGATTCACGGCTCACCAGACCTAACGCCGTATCAGTCAACCACACGGTCCAGTATGGACAGCCACGGCCGAAACTCCCTGCCCCCGCCGAACATGATGCCGCCTCCCATGGCCCTGTTCGATCCCGAGGACACGAATCGTCGCTTTGTCGGAACGCCGGACTACCTCGCGCCGGAAACAATCAAGGGTGACAAGCAGGACGAGACGAGCGATTGGTGGTCTGTCGGATGCATCATGTTTGAGTTCCTGTACGGGATCCCGCCGTTCCATGCCAGCGAAGCCGAGCAGGTGTTCGAGAACATCTTGGCGCGCAGAATCCAATGGCCAGATCCAGCAGAGTGTGAGCCCGTGTCTGACGAGGCCAAGGACTTGATCAACAAGCTGCTGTGTATGGACCCCCAGCAGCGCTTGGGGGCAAATCGCGAAGAGAAGTATGCCTCTGGTGGTGAGGAGATTCGAAGCCACCCTTGGTTCAAGGGAGTCAATTGGGACACTCTGCTAGAAGATGAGGCCCAGTTTGTTCCTCAGCCAGAGAACCCTGAGGATACTGAATATTTTGACTCGAGAGGCGCCGTCCTTCAATCCTTCGTCGAGGAGATGGAGGATCAAATGTCGCCGCAGTCGTCTACGACCGGGTCCAACGACTACGCGGACAGACCACACGACGCGCTTTCGCGAGTCCGCTCGCAGGTCAATTCGGCGGGGAGAAAGCTGATGCCACTTCACATCCCCCCTCACGTGCGAGACCTCAAGTCACGGAGGCTGAGCGAGCCAATTGCCGCCGATGATTTCGGCAGCTTCTCCTTCAAGAACCTCCCCGTGCTGGAAAAGGCGAACAAGGATGTGATACAGAAACTCCGAGCGGAGGCCTTGGCGGCACAGAGCAAGCAGTCGTCCGTTAGTCCCGGAGGTCTTGGTGGAATGCCGTCTCCGGCACAGTCCCTCGAAGGCAGCCCCGTGGTAGCGACCCATGTCCAGAGAACACTATCCAACGCAAAGGGGCGTCCGCAATCGCCATCTGGTTTGAGCCTCGCAAACGCTTCTCCAAATCGCATGTCTCAGGTCAATCAGCCTTCGCAACCATCGTCTCCCTTGTTGGTTTCATTCACGGCCGGACAGATACAGCCCGATGGCCGCAGGAAGGCATCGAGCAACTCATCCAGCCTTTCGTACCAATCGACATCCTCTTCCCTGCAGCCGAATGCCGCCTTTGAGATCCCAAAGGTCCCGCCTAGTTTGCAGAGGGCGGCAACATCTGCGGCTGCGTCGCCGGTCAAACCCCGTGCAGGAAGCACGGTGCCGCCTCCGTTGGCGTTGTCGCCAGGAAAGGTAATGGCAACACCTGTTCGCCAGGGAAGCACGTCTTCGACGAGCCGGTCGCGGTCCTTGACCGTGGGGTCACAGGAAGCCAGCCCCGTGGCCACGGACATGCTTTCTCACCATCACCGGAATCGCCGTAGCCAGGTATTTGACATGTCCCCGTCATCATCTGATAACGAGGGAGACAAGCACAATGCTCTGCTGAGAGTCCAGAGGCGTCGGCAAAGCTCCCGACGGCTTTCCCAGATTGCCTTTGACAACGGGCCGACCTTCCGACCCTTGGATGTGCTGATATGTGAAGACCATCCCGTGTCTCGAATGGTGATGGAGAAACTGCTTGAGAAGCTACGCTGCCGCACTATTTCCGTGGCTAATGGCTCGGAAGCAGTGCGGTACTCGATGAGCGAGATCAAGTTTGACATCATATTCCTCGAATACAGGCTTCCGCAGATCAACGGCGCCGACGTGGCCCGTATGATTCGAGAGACCAAGAACGCCAACTCCCACACGCCGATCGTAGCCATCACGGCCTATCTGAAGGAGCTGCAGGCACCGCACTACTTTGACTCGCTGATCGAGAAGCCCATCAGCTCTTCGAAGCTGACGGAGGTGCTCCGGAGTCTCTGCCAGTGGCAGCCCGAGTCTCCGCACAGGCCTGCCATATCGTCCATGTCGCAGGCCATCCCGCTCAACATGAGGAGAGCGCATCCACGCCCAATGGACGATAGCCCCACGTCGAGCATATCGGCCTTCACGGGCCGCCAGGGATCGGCAATGGTGTCAAGCCGGGAGGATTCCATCACATCTAGCATGTTTGGTGACTCGGAGTCTTACACCACGGATGAGATACCGGTCGTCATCAGCCGCAAGGCAACCGGGGACTGGGAAGACAGCGGTGGTCTTGGCATCACTGACATGGACGCGACTACGGGATTTGACCATTCACCAAAGAGCATCCCGTTGCTCCTGTGCCAGCAGTCGGCGCCGGCGCATCTCGAGGCCATGTCACGGGGCTTGGATAGCCGGCTCAAAGTCAGACAGGACATTTTCGATAGGAAGCCTTCGGAGGGCACGGAGTCGGCGGATGACGAAGATGAAGAGCCCGATGGCAGGAGAGACCTGCATCTGAGGCGAGGCAGCAAGGCTGTGGCTGGCAAGGGCACGCTGCCGAGCTCCAAACTCGGCATTGAGATGATGCGAGCGGACAGTCACGATAGTGTCACCTTTTCCGACAGCACCTCGGAAGCCGTCACGCAGGTTGCAACGACACCTTCGCTCGAGCTGGAGAGGCAGTTGGTTGGTGCCGATTTCGCGGCGGTGCATAGCACGCCGGGCAGGATCGAAGCGGCCGCCGGCGAGGACGACGATTTCCTGGGCCCCGGAAGCACCGAGGCGACCCCAAGACCGCCCGCGGTCGGAACAAGCTCTGGGCGAGCTGAGAGCGGAAATGCACTGGTGAGGATACAACTGGACGAAGAACAAGAGGCGACGCCAAAGGCCTCGGGGAAATAGGCATCCCAAGATGTTAGCTGTGCCTTTTTCTTTTGCACGCTTTTTCGCCTTCCCCAACCCACTCATTCACGATGCTCTTGCGCCTTGCTTTTTACATTCTGTTTAGCCGACTGTTCTTACTCTTCATCGATTCCGCACATGCCAAATGGGAATCCTATTCCCATTTTTGCAGCCGCTTTTTCATGCACTTGCAACATATCTGTTGCTCGGGGGTTGAGTGGAATCCATATGTTCTTTGGTCATTTTCTTTTGTACGAAATTAGCAGCGAGGCGTTTAATGGGACATGACGACTCGAGATGATCAGAGCAATAGCATGCTTAGCAGAGGATGGGGTCGATGGATGACGGATGACGGATGGTGGACGATGGGATGAAAACGGTGCAGGCGAACGATGCAAACGAGCCTTGGGCTGCTCTCTGTTCTTCCGTGTGAACATCAGCTCCGAAGAAGAAGGGATGACTTTTCTTTTCCCACTCGGCTGAGGTTTTTTCTTGGACGAAATCATCTGCTAGGGCTTGTCATGGCCAGTAGTTTCATCTTGGTAGTGCGGTCGGTGTGTGTACATATAGAAGAGGGTTGGGACGTCTGGGATTGAAGAATACTTAGCTATCATGAGTGTTTTTTATTTGTACGATTTACATTTTGTCTGGTCCTTTGCGCGTGGTTGTCTGTCTTGAGGTCTGGTGTTTTGTGAAGATATTGCGGACTGTTGAAAGAGATAAAGGGGGGCAGTTGCAGTAGCAGATGTAAAGTAAGGGGGGGGTCGGTGGTGGTGAATAGACCACCAATAGTTGCGACAGGTCAGGTTGTATATAGATGTTGCGAGAACAGTCAGTGTATAATTGTATCGAACATTTACCATGTCTTGACGGGTTGATGTGGACTCGGCTTGCGGTAGGTTTCGTGATTGAATTGATGCAAGAATTCTTCAGTATCACTTCTTGAGGAGTATTGTGTGGGACGAATCGAGCTCTTCTGATGATACCAACGCCGTACCTTCGTAGGTCGTGAATGGTTCATCTTATGCCTAAGAAGTTGATAAGCTCTCTACATCTTTTTCCACTCACACCCGACGAGTGGGTTGATTGGAACATGTGAGAGGGTTAGAGAGGGGGGAGGTGAACTGTGACGAGTGCTCAAACAAGAGGCATCTTTTTCAGCGCGGCAAGCTTCATACTACCTACCTAGGTAATCACAAAGGTCCAGGGAGCGCGTATATTTGCAAAGAATTGCAGACAGTATATATGAGGAGTAATATGGAACACACACGATACTTGTCATTCTTTCTTCTTCTAGGGGACAGTTCACTTCAACTTGGCTTTGAAAGAGCCTCTCTTGTGAGATTCGTTACGTGATTGTCCGCTATTACCGTTTGCCCCTTTCTTTTTCTTCTTCCTTTGGTCTGATGCTCGCTCCAGTACAAATTTGTCAAGATGACATATAACAGGTGTTTGGAGCCCATTGGATATTGAGGCCCAAGTACGTCATGTCATCTTATTACTCCGGGTCAGGAGAAACTCAATTGCCAAAGGTGCGGATATGTTGCCGTAGAAGGGAAACCTGTCTGATGCTTGAATCGTCTTCTACAGAAGTGGTGATGGGAATTGAGTTTTGAGGGCCAAGATAGACAAATCAGTTCTCAGAGCAATACTACTAACTTACTCAATGTGACTACGAAAGGGCACAAACTCAACCGCGGAGTGAGCATGACGTTTATCACGATGGTGTTAAACTATGGGACAGAGCCAGTCTCTACCCCCGAAAGGACACCGACGGAATCAGCTGACTGAGACTGAGGCATTCCCCCCGAGCCGGAGACGTGATTGGTTTGTCCATCCCAATGAGGAACTGAACGTGGAATTAGCAGCAACGGCTGGACGAGGAAACTCTTGTTCGTCTTGTGGCTGTTGCAGCAAATAAAGATTGTGACTTCATGCCTTGAGTTTGCGAACTCTGGCTTGCTCGGTGAACGGTTGCGTCTTAGCATAAGGTAGAGAGAGTTGGTGTTGGCTCGCTTGCTTTAGTGTGTACTACGCCATGGGGGCTTTTCTGGGAAGTCTGTGATGATTGTATGGCGTAAAGGCTATTAATACTTGTGACGTTGGTCTGAAGAAGCGGTGTTGGGTGGTGATGTAAGTGCAAGACGAGAGGAGGCGTGACATCAGGTTGTTGCGCGATGGAAATTGATTAAATGAGGGGGGTTCAAGGACTCTCCAGGGTAACTCGTCGTGAGATTCAGCTAGGCTTGCATGACGATCATGAAGTAATGCCGGGGCAGCGAGAGACGAGCTAAAAGCAGCTCTATAACTCAGCTTCATGCTTTGTGGGCTTGATTGGCGATGATCACAGTAAGCTGAAAAGAATGATGGTGATTGCAGAAGGCGAATGAATGGCCGTCGAATACTGTATGTATGTGTTGGTCCCTCAAGTCTAACCCTCCCCCTCGATGGACGACAGCGCTGCTGAGAATGCCAACCGAGCATCATCAATTAAAGCGCATGTAAGCAATCAAAGAGCAGAAATTACTTGCTCATCCGAAGGTGGTGTCATAAGAAAAGGCTTTCGGCCGTTCTGTGGCAGTGGCGTCGGCTCTGTAAGACGTCTAACGTTTGGCGGGCGTTTCCCCATCTTCTCTTTCTCTTCCCTTGAAATTTTCTCAATTGATTCTCTGTTGCTTCTCTGCTGCAGGCACGTGCTCCCCATAAGGTGACCCGATGATCTGGGCAAAAAATGCTCCTGGCGAGATAAGCGCGGGCTACTGTAATACATACACACAGAACCAAGGCACAGGGGAGCGCCATTGCCTGACGATGGCTCGAGCTCAATGCGACTTTGCGTTCGGGTTTCTTCCGCGACACGGCATTGATGCTACGTATTGGGAGCAAATGAGCTGCTCTGGGCGGTCCTCGCATTTCTCGTCGTCATCATTCGTTCTTCAGCCTGTGATAAGTGTCTTTTGCCCGCCCGCCAGCCCAAGGAATCATCAAAGGGCCCCTGCTAGGAAGACGGCGATTCTCCGCGAATGTCACAGCTCTGTAGCAGTATTCATGTTCGCTTAGATTGATCTCCGGCCAGCCTCACGCATTGCGCAGTGCACGTTTCCCATTGATTGGACGAGGAGCAAGAGGCAAGGCAACAGGCACGAGAACTCGCGGGCGAGGCCGAGGAAACGAGATTGCCATCAAACCTAAAATCCTGCATGTCAGGTTCCCAGTACTTGCCGAGCTGCGTCCGAGCTGCAGAGTCTGCTGGGAAAACGCGGTGAAAAGTTTTGCAGCGCTTTGTACTCGGTACTTGAGCGTGGGGAGTTAGTGTGCTGGGTAGCGCCACAACTCCAGGACCCTCGGTGCGTCTGAATAATAGTACATAGTACGGAAAATGGATGGAATTTGTCGCCCGACAGCTCAAGGTGATATCAGATTGTCATGATTTGTTCACCAGGTCGACACATTGTCTTTCAGTACGAGTATATCATGTCCTTTCAGTGCGATTTCTGGTCATGCTGCCTCCCGTCTCTCCTCGCTGGCACCCCTTTCACTTGCATGTGCGGCCCATCGCGGCGCAGTTTCCCACTACAAACCGGGGAGCACCGAGAGGAGAGAGAAAAAAAAAAAGTCTCGACTCTTGCTTGTTCTTGACTCACGCGACAGCTTTCCCGCTTCGGTTGGCTCGTACTTGGCAAAGGTGGATTGCCTGACGCACACGAGCGGTCGCCAAGACGATCCGGTCTGTGATAGGTCGTAACTGCCGGGCTCGACTTGGACGACATGCGGTGCGATGGGAAAGAAGCATCGCGAAGCGCAACAGGAAAAAGGAAGCAATCCAAAGCCTCGTTTTGGGTAATTTTGGCTTCTTGTGAGGCGCTCTTTCCTCAATACCGGGAGCTGCCCATGCACCTTCTTCTTTGTTTGGCGGGGACACTGTAGTTTTTGGAAAGATCGGCACGCATCTTGTCTCGTCTGAGGCGCCGTCTTTTGCCGCTCTATCCGGACACAGCAGCAGCAGCACCAACCGGGAAGGAACACTGCACCACGCCCTTGCCCAAGGGCGATTAAGATGCTGACCACAGCCCGTGTGTCTCGGCAATGGGGCACTGGAGAGCGCTGAAGAGCGCTGCAGACCGCTGTAATGCTAAGCGTACTGCAAAAGCTTCTCCCGTGCCCTGGGTTCCAGAATCTCCGTAGGTAAAGAGGGAAGAGGGAGCGAGGAGAGTCTAGACGCCAAGATGTGCTCACAAATTACCAACCCAAACCAACACCACCACCATTTCGAACCACTGCAATGCACATGCTACTACTACTACATACGTACGAGTACAGCAACCGTGTGGGGGTTGCGTTGTCTCTTCCTCCTTTCCCCCCTCACGTTGTTGTCACCGTAACAACTGTTCTGAATACTACTACAGCCGGGATCATCAGGTTTCCCCGCCAGCGCAGACTCTCCAATCCGTGCACTCCGACGCCTTGTCACTTTGCGTGAGCGATGACGGCCGTGTCTGCGGACAGTGAGAGAGCCTTTCGCTTCGGTTGACCGAGAGGCATCAGCAGAATGGCACACCCATTGCGAGGGATTGCCAAAACAGGCCACCGAGGAGAACAAGGTTCGCATGTCCAGCGTCTACAGTACAGTAGACAGGCAACAGGCAATCGGGAACCCTGGCCAAATGGATGGCCTGCATGCAATACGAGTACATACCGAGGTGGCCAATTCATGCCCTTGCAGCGCCATCAGAGTACGAGTACATAGACGAGAGAGGCGAGGGCCATTCATGGCCCGATTTTCTCAGCAGATCTTGCTCAACAAACCCCCAAAGGCGAGCAAAAAAAGAAAAAAAAACTGGAACAATTTCAGTAGCAGCAGCTAGCAGACGCCCTGCTCTGTATGTCAAGAAAAACCCTTCTCGAAACTACGACGAACCAAGAGCGCCACAACGGCCTAACAGACGGATTATAGATGGTGGCGGCGAAAGCCTGAGATCATGGCTTTGCACCATGGCGCTCCCCTCCGCCATGTATTACTGCGAGTAGCAATGCCTATTCGACCAGATTCGAAGCACCTTTGCGCCAGTTGCCTCGGCGAGAACGAAGCGCCGCCCGGGCCCTGGGACTTGTCCACTACGACCGACCAGGTTGTCAAGTTGCAACCTTTTTACGGGTCTCGAGCCACCGAGCAAGACAAGAGGCCGACGGCGGGCTTGAGGGATGCAGCGAGCGGGTCGCAGGCTGGACAAGATTGTGTGGGCAGCTTGTGGGGGGGCACCCAAGGAACCACGAGGCGGACGACGGAATGGAGCAGCTGGTCCAGGCGAATCCAACCCCCCCCGGCCGAAGCCACTCGACGTCCACGGCCTGCCCACGATGCTGAATCTCGAGCTCTGACTGGCTGCTCAAATGCTGTCTTTCGGTCGTCGAAAGCGGCTTAAACTGCGAAGGCTCGTGGCGGATGTTCAATGCTCCAGCAAAAGGTGCGTTTTTCGCGACTCTTTAGCTTCCAGCTTGACCGATACCATCCGGCAAGGGTGACGAAGCGTGAGGCGACTGCGACAAACAAATACAGCAACTGCGGCCCTTCATTCTCCATCCCTTTTCCTCTTCTTCTCCTCCATCCTCATCCTCATCCACGCTTGCTGTCCAAGTGTGTTTGTTGCTGGTGTGGTGGAAAACAGCCGAAGCGACACTCCATCCCCTTGCTAGGGCACGCCGTCTCCCTCCCTCCTGGACGTCCTTCCCCCCCGCAAATTCCAGACTCCTCCGCCAATCACATACCTTTGGTGGCAGCAGCAGCAGCATCACAATTTTCGAGAGTATCGGTACTGTGCATTGCATAACTCGCTCGTGCTACGAGCAGCATCGCGACCATAATGGCCAGCGAAAAGCCGACTCCCGTCGCCCATGAGCATCACGGCCTGGGTGGCTTGATTCCCGGCGAGATTCCCATCCCTCACGGCCCTCATGGCGACGGTGACGACCGCGACGACTACCCGCTGGACGGTGATGAGCGCCGTGTCTTCAGCCATGTCACCCGGCCCGACGACAGCTACACCTCAGACGGCACCTACTGGGCCGACCTGCCCTTTGGCGAGCGCGTCAAGTTCGTCTCGTCTGTCGACCGACAGGCCGCCAAAGAAGAGCTCAGCACCATCTGGTCCATGATGAAGAAGGATCCCCTGTCCCCCGTCTCTTGGTATTTCCGCCATGCCGTCATCCCCGGTGCCGGCCTCGGTCTGGAGGGCTACGTCCTCTTCTCTATTGGTAACCTGGCACCTCTCTTCAGCCAGGTCTGGCCTGAGTGCTGGGGTTCCAACCCTACCGTCTGCGACGCCAACTGGGTTGCCAGTGTGACATACCTGGAAGTCGTGGGCATCATGATTGGCCAGGTCATTGTTGGTGTAAGTGCTCCTCTTCCCCCAAGAAATCGGCCGGTTGGAGCAGCAGCAGGAACATAAGACGCTAACCCATTTTGCAGGTCATTGGTGATTGGATTGGACGTCGTTGGGGTCTCATTCAGGATGCCATCGTCATGTTCATCGGTCTCCTTATGCTCACTGCCAGCTGGGGTATGACCCTCAATGGCTGGGTCATCTGCTACGCCTGGTCTCTGTTCTTCTACTCTCTCGGCGTCGGCGGCGAGTATCCCATCACCGCCACCTCGTCACTTGAGAGCGCCGTTACTGCCGGCAAGCTGTCGACCAAGGAGGATCGTCTGCACCGTGGCCGCCGTGTCACCATGGCCTTCCTGATGCAGGGCTGGGGCCAGTTCGTCAACCAGGTCCTGCTCATCGTCCTGCTTGTCATCTTCAACAGCGGCAAGGGTGGCCCGCCGTACAGCAAGGAGGCCGCTCAGTTCACCTTCCGCCTGTCCTTTGCCTTCCCCGCCATCGGCACCCTGTGGCTCGTCTACTACCGAACCTGGAAGATGCCTCACGCCTCCAAGCAGCTTGCCGAAGCCAAGAGCCGCACCAGCGTCACCGGCTACGATGTCACGGCCCTCAAGTCGTGCTTCACCCACTTTGGTGGCCGCCTGCTCGCCACCGCCGGCACGTGGTTCTGCAACGACGTCTTCTTCTACGGCAACAAGCTCTTCCAGGGCCAGTTCATCAAGGTCATCTCCGACAACCCCAACTCGCTGCTGACCACGTGGTCCTGGAGCTTGGTCAACATTGTCGTCTCCCTGGCCGGCTACTACGCCGCCTCCTTCCTCATCGACAACAAACTCTACGGCCGCAAGTGGATGCAGCAGGTTGGCTTCTTCATGTGCTTCCTCATGTTCGTCATCCCCGCCTTCAAGTACGAGTATTACACCAGCCCCGCCGGCATCCACGCCTTCCAGGCCATGTACTTCTTGTCGTCCTTCTTCAACCAGTTCGGCCCCAACTCGGTCACCTTCCTCATTGCCGGCGAGGTGTTCCCCACCCCCATCCGTGCCACCGCCCACGGCTTCTCTGCCTGTCTCGGCAAGGCTGGCGCTCTGCTCGCTTCGATCCTGTACAACTACATCGACATTCAGACTCGATTCTACGTCGTGCCGTGGTTCGGCCTTGCTGGCATGTTCCTCACCTGGCTTTTCCTGCCCGACACCACCGGCCTCGACCTCAAGGAGCAGGAGCGACGATGGCGCTACATTCGAGACGGCAAGGCTGAAGAGTACCACGGCGTTGCCGTCCACCCCCACCACCTGTCCCTGTGGGAGCGATTCCGTGGCGCTAGCAAGTCCTACGATCCCCAGCTGGACTGGAAGGCGAAGATTGAGGACATGCGGGCCGAGTGGGAGGCTGTTCAGGCTGCTCGCGGCCCCAAGGAGACGGAGGGTAATGCCAGTGGCATGCCCGAGGACGGCGAGTTCTCTCCCGAGATTCACAACTTCTTCATGCGCTCGAGTCCTCGTGCGCCGCGCTCCAACGGTGTCTTCCATGAGAAGTCTGTTACTGACGAGGCGTCTTCCGAGTAAACCTGGGGTTGACCTTGCACGTCCTTTCTCCTACATGATTCTCGCACCTTTTTCTCGTCCTGATGACTGTTTATACTACATCTTTTTTATTATATGATGATCTCTTTTTTTTTCTTTGCGGAATTTGCATTGGGGAGTCTTGCTTAAGGGACTGGTTTGGTCTCTTGTCCCCCACTATACCAATGTCCGAGGCGGTTTATGAGGAAGCGGCTTGTATCATAGGCGAAGCGTGGATAGAATGACGGATGCGCATGATGCTCGGCGTATCCGCGTTGATGGATGTTATGATTCCCTGGCGATATTGCCCGATAGAGGGAGGATAGCTGATAGCGGCTATGGTATGAATAAAAGTATATATGATGATACCTATTGGCAGCAGCCTCAGAGTGCCCAGATTCCTAGTGACTCTTTTACACTTACGGCTGTTGGAATTTTGGGACCCCTTACTTGATGGCCACATGCTCTATCAAGAGATGGATTCAAACCGCCCAAAGGCTCCGGAGGTATCAGTGATGACTGGCTGGAGAAACAGCCGACACCAGCTCTGTTGGAATGATAGAATTGCTTGATGTGTCAGGTCTTTTCAATCCATTGTGACTGTAGATCGTTTCTTGGAGTTCTTTCTTTCCTTCTTTCTCTTCTTATTCCTTGCGTTTAGGTCTTTCGGGGGAAATACTTGAGGAAAATCAATCGATTAATAGTTTTGTCTTCTGTGTCTGTATACCGTGCCTGTTCGGATCGTTTCTCTCTCTGTATACCGTTGTAGAAGGCGAGGAGGAGGGCTCTACGTATTATGGAGACGATGCTCGAAGTTGTCCTTGATGACAGCCAGACTAACCCAATCTGGAAAATGGATACTATCCATACCAGCTTTGGGGGGGCAACGGAGATATATCGGACGACTACTGACTGACTTGTCCTCCTTGCCACACCTTTTTGTCTCCTTCGTATGGAAAACAGCTGAATGACTGTATGGAAACTGAATGAAGTCATTGCGGAGGGGGGAAAAGGGAGAGGAGTTACGTTAACCCCGTGTTCCAGCGTTGTTATAGGAAGAAGATTCGGTGGAGGAGTGATGACTTTGTTGCTAGCCTTCTTAGGAAAAGGGGGATCCTGTGTCTGGGAGTTTTGACGTTGTGTATGTAAGTGTGTGTAAGTCGGATATTGACGATGATTTGGGTATATATATATCTTCATGATGGACTCGTCTGTAGTCCATCAGCAATTCGAACTCATCTTCTCTCTACAGTCCTCTCATCCATTGCCTTCTTCAACATCTTTTCTTCCCAAATTGCCTTCTCTCAACGTCCTTGCAGCCCAAGCTCCTGCAAAAAAAAAAAAAAAAAAAATGGCCAACACAAAGTCCGCCTTGGGCAACCAAATCATTCTCTCCTCCGAGTTCGTCCTCGGCAGATACGGAGAGTCCCTCGCCGGCAAGACCAGTCCGTCTCACTTCTCTTCGTCCACCATACTCAAACACGTCACACGCATGTACTAACACCGCGCAAGTCCTCATCACGGGCGTCGCAAACGACTCCATAGCAGGCGAGCTCGCCCTCCAGCTCAGCGCCGCCAAGCCCTCCCTCCTCATCCTCACCGCCCGCTCCGAGTCCCGCGTCGAGCCCGTCGTGTCCAAGATCAAGGCCAAGCACCCGGACGTCACCGTGCGCTTTCTGCAGCTCGACCTCGCCTCCTTGGCCGATATTCGTAGGGCGGCAAAGGAGCTCGACGACGTGCCAAAGATTGACCACCTGGTTGCCGTGGCGGGCGTCATGGTGCCGCCGTACCAGAAGACGGTCGATGGCGTCGAGCTGCAGTTTGCCGTCAACTATCTGGCCAACTTCTTGCTCGTCAAGGAGCTGCTGCCCAAGGTCCGGGCGGCGGGACCAAAGTCGTCGATTGTCATTTGTGCTAGCTCGGCTGTGCGGTCGGGCTCGGTCAACTTCGACGATGTCAACTATAGCGTTCGTCGTCTTCGCCCTGGGGTATCTCTGTATCATGTATATACCGCAAGATGGCTAACATGTTCTCGCTGTGTAGGACGGCGAGACGTATGACCCCATCGGCGCATACGGACAGTCGAATGCTGCAAGAGCCGTCTTCGCCAAGTTCCTGGCTGAAAAGCTCAAGGGAGAAAATATTCGAGTCTTCAGCGTCGATCCCGGCGGTACGTATCCTGCGGTGACAGTGCTGGACATGCGAGTTGGTGACTAACAGCGGTGTTTCACAACTCTGATAGCGGTTGCATCGGGACTGCAGCGCAACTTTACCGGCGAGTTTCTCAATCAGATCCAGGAGATGCGCAAGTCGGTCGATCGTAAGCCTCCTCTTTCTCTCTCACCTTCTTCTCCTCTTCTTGCCGCTGATGATGCTGCAGCCGTCCTTCGTGACTATGATGGTCGCCCATACCACATGCCCCCCTTCACAGGCGCCTCCGAGGGGGCATCGACGCTCATCACCGCCATGGTCGATCCAACAATCGAGGACGCCAGCGGGGCATTCCTGTCTCGCAACGCGGTTGCCGATGAACAGCTGACGTCGTGGATCTTGAACCGCGAGAACTGGGTCAAGTTGTGGGAACTTAGCGAGAAGCTCATCGGGGAGCCCTTTGCCATCTAGGCTCCCATGTCTTTCTCGCTCTTAGCCATGCTCATGTTTCTCTCGTCGGCCATACGTATTACTTGTCCGTTGATAGAGTCACAATGCAGAAAAGACATTTTTGCATCAGAAAATCCTCAGCGGTCTCTCCCGTCTCATCGCCCGCCAGTAGTTGGTCGTCCGAACAATGTCCGGGCACTCGTCCGCCAGCCACGGCCACTTGCGAACCATTGTGGCCGAGATCTCGTACGACGCGGGATCCCACGGCTCCCCCCACACCACCATCCCTATCATGCCGTCGTCGTCCGACATGTGGCTCTGTAGGAAAAGGTGGTGGCAGAACTCGTCCTCGTCGAGATGGTGCAGCCGCCGCAGGAGCGCGTCTCGCAGCGACGGCTGAGGACAGAGATCGATCCAGGGGTGATGCGCAACCTGCCTCTGCAGCGCAGTCGGCCGCAAAGACAGCGGCACGTGCTGCAGCTCGTTATCACGTTGCTGACCGGCGGCGGCACCACCACCATAGCCAACCGCAGGGGGCAAAGCAGGCAGGCTGCTGCGGCTCTCGGCGCTGTCGTAAAAGGGCGAGATGATGTCCTCGCCCATGTCTTCCACCGATAGGCCCATCCACCGCGCATTCGTGACCATGGCCCGGATGACGTTGAACTGCATGACGGACAGCAGCAGCTGGCTGTCGAGCGTATGCTGCGCGACGTGACGAGACACCAGCTCGTACAGGCGCCGGAAGAAGACGGCGCGGTCCTGCGGCGTCATGGTGCAGAAGAAACGGAAGACTTTGGTGTGGTACTGTTTCGAGAGGAACATGTCCGTGACGTCTGCGATGTCTGCGTCAAAGGGGCTGCAGTTGACGACGGCTGTGTCTGAGGAGGAGGCATCTTTCCGAGCCTCGTTGAGCGACGCCGACTGCGATTGGGCGAGCCGGTATTGATGCTGATGTTGGCCCTGGTCCGGAGGATGCCCATCTTGTGGCTCGTCTTGCTGCGTCTTGCCGTTCCTTGGATCGACGTAAAAGACCCATTTGCTAAACTGCCGCTTCTTCTTGTCCTGTTGCTGCACCTTTTGCAACTCCCTCTTCCGCTGGCCTGCATCCCATTCGTAAGTCTCGCTTTATCTGCATCATCTCCTTCGTCTTGAGTTTGCCACTTACGACTCGCTCGCTGGTTCAGCCGATTCTGCAACCTCCGCCGACCAGCCGCGCTCAGCACCTCCTCCTCCTCCTCTCCCCCCCGTCCCACCTCCGCGCTTGTGGCTTCCGGCATGATGTTCTGTAGACTCTCGAGATCAGACGCTATATCATGAAGCATCGAAACCCAATCTTGTGATTTCTCATCCTGTTGCGACACCGCACATGACGAACACTCGAGCCTCGCAAGACAGCCGTCGAGATGCTGTTTCTTGTAGTTGCGGATGATGGCGCGTCGTCTTACGGACAGATTAAGTCCGGCCCGGGTCCCACCTAAATCCGCTCCGCAGCGCCGTGTAAGCGGCAGCACTTTTGCCGTACAGTATCAACTTGACCCTGGCGATACTGCAGTCGCCCATGGCCCCCGACATGCATACGTACAAAACATTGTATAGACTGGTCGAGCTGAGAACCGATAGGGCGCCTGTCCGACCACTGTTCATCCATAGGCTCTTTGTACGTTACTCCGCGACTCTCTGTTCATACTGCACGCTTACAACGTTCCGTCTCAACAACACTCGCGCTCATTCCAACCGGCCCGCCTCCCAAAAATCAACAATGAGCATCGCTACGCTATGAATTCGTGTATATACATTCGCTCGCAATGTCCCATGATATGAAATGAAATCTGCACTCGTGAGGGTTGGGTATGTAGAAATGCTGACGACACTAGCGTATACCTGTCGAGAGCTGAACAAGAAACAAGGGGAATGCCGCTCATGTGCCTCTGTCCAAAAGGAACGAGGTAGTATTGATATGAAAACCGCTCCAAGGAAATATATGAAAGGGGACGCAGTTGAGCAAGAGAGAACACCAAATCGAGCGACTAAATCAATGACATGACCAGTAAAGACAAGCGGAGAAGAAGGAAAAAATAGTAAGAAAACAAACAGAGCAAGAGCTTATTCCATTCGGGAAGACTTCTTCGCTCTTCTTATATAAATCGTTGCCTGTGTACCGTCAATAGATCCTGTTCCTGTCCCCGTCCCGTTCCCGTTGCCTGTCCCATTTCCGTTTCCATTTCCCATCCCAGCTGTTCGTTCCCCGGCTGCGCCAGCTCCTCCGGCCCCGGCTCCGGCTGATCCTCCTCTTATTGTCTTTCTCTCGTCGTCGTTGGCATCGTTATTCGTATCCATGGCCGCTCGAGTTCCCGCCGGAACAATGACGCTTAGCACGCAGTCGTCCAGGTGTTCGTAAAAGTCCTGTGGCGCGGCAAAGCGGTTGTTGCAGATGGAGCAGATGGCGCTGGCGCCCGAGTTGGCAGACAGCGTGATGAGCCGACCGCCTCTGTTGGTGGTATGGCTATGCAAAGGCGCCTGCTCGACCTGATGGGCCGCGGCAAGATGCCGCTTGAACACGTCGGCTCGGTTGAATGCCTTTGCGTACGCTGAGCCGACACCTGGACAAAATGGGCAGACCATGGTGCCCCGGTAGTGGGTGAGCGCGTGCCGGTTCTTGTCGTACTTGCGGGCAAACCCTTTTGTGTGATATTCGCACGATTCGATCGGGCACTTCTCCGGCCTCTCCTCTTGGTGCGTGAGCATGTGAGCCGCGAGGTCTTTGAACACGCGCCCGCAGTCGGGGAACGGACATCGGCTACGATTCTCGGGCGCTGGCGGTGTCGGCATCGGCCGTGGTAGGTGGTGCGGAATCGGCGGCTGGGACGATGACGGGGGCGGCAGCGACAACGGAGGAGGAGGAGGCGGCGGCGGTGCCAGTCGACCAGCCGGGCTCCTCGAGACCATCTCCCACGGCACCGGCTCTTCCATGACATTTGGTGATATCGTCATCGAGCCGACCGACGACATCGACACATGGCCGCTGTTGATGGGTATGGGCGGCAGCTCCATCACGGGCGCCGGTGGTAAGGCCGCCAGTGGCACCGTCCTAGTGGACTGCTTGATGTCCTCGTCCTCCTCGCCCTCGCTCGACATATCATTGTCCGCGTCCCCGGCCGCGTCTGCGACGGACTGTCTCACTTCGCGCATCCAGTCCTTGAGAAGCGACATGGGCGGCCAGTCTCCGCTGGCCTTGCCTCCGCGGTGAGGGTTGAAGTGAGCTCGGCGAAGGTGAGCCGCCGCGTTGTAGTAGGCACCGTAATGCTTCTGCATCACGCAAGCCTTGCAGCTCGACAGGGGAATGGCGGGCTGCGGAGTCGCAGGGCTCTGACCTTCGGGCTCGCAGCAAACCCATCGCTTCACCAACGCTGCGTGTTTGGCATCAGTATGCCGCCTCAGCTCGTGCTCTCCGCGGAATCCCTCGGGGTATTCGTGACACTTGCGACAGAATACGCGCCGCAGAGGCGGTCTCTGATAGGCTGGCTTGAACCTCATGGGCGTCAAGTGGTTTCCGAATATTGAGCTGGACGAATTGATGTTGGTCGGTGCTTCCGCAACCGTATGTCTTCTGGCACGTCCAACATGTTCAGGGACCGGCTGGCTCAGGGACGACGTGACGGCGCCGCGACTGATGTTGGCATCGTCCAACGCCTCTGGATGCGGTCCGAGCAGTATTTCCCTGTGCGAAGAGGAAGGGGGAAACGCGGAGCTCCCCACGGATGACCAGCGCGGCTCACGCGCCGAAACGGACTGGGGCGTCGATAGTTGAGCATCGTTACCCGGAGACACGATTGGCTGTAGAGGACGGATGAAGCCGTTGAATCCGTACACATCTTTTGTCCTTCCGCTCCCTAAGCTCATCAGGAAATCTGCACTGGAGCGAATATCCCGGGCTTGCCACGTATCCATTCGCATGATGCGCCGCGTCAGCTCAAATACGGGGATGTCTTCCTGTGGCACGTCGCTAGGTGAGCCATCCGTCAACATCGGTCCGCCCGTGATGAATAGGTGGACAAGGGCCTTGTAAACGCTGTCTATCGTGTTCTGGGGGCTGTCTCTGAGGGGGCTTCGATGTCGAAAGGCGGAATAAGGCAGAACGGAGACCGACGCGAGATCCATGAGCAGAGTCCGGACAATGCTGAAGATACACAGGGAGTAGAAGACTGCCAGCCACTCCTTCGATTGGAGAGGGGAACTCCGCAACGCAATCGCCTCGAACGCCTGCAAGAATACCACCATGGCCTGCTCCACGAGGCGGCTGTGCTCTCCCGTAAAGTCCAGGCGGTCCGAGGGAGGTCGATATCCATAGCTGGGATCCAGTTGCATAACGGGCTTGGGGTGTAACAGGCAGTAGAACGCCGTCTCTCGGAGCAGCACCTTCGCATGATACAGGACCGGGTACTGTGACTCCTCAACCTCACGGGAGGGACATATGTATCCGGTATACCTCAAAAGCTCGAGCGGGCTACTTGACGTCTCCTGGCAATTCCAGCTAGCGGCCAGGGCGCAGAGAATCGGCGGAGGACGGTCAGCCATATCCCTGGTCAGCTGTTGCGCGTCATGATGTCCATCAAAGCTCCTGTAAGATTGTTGCCCTGACCACCAGAACGCATCTCGATAGTCCATGCAGGTCATGACATGATCCCCTATGTGCGCTGGGAAGATACACGTCCTTTGTAGGTAATCGTTTACATTTTGTCGTCGGGTGGGTGATGTAGAAGACGTGGGTGTATGGATTTGTCCCTGTGAGAAAGAGGTGCCTGTAGGGCCATGTTAGAGATTTGGAAGGTCTTTGGGTTTGGTACGAGCCGAGAGGGAAGCGGTCCAAATCAGAGGCGCCCTGGGTACCCAGGGAGGGAGGGAGGAAGGAGGAGGCTCGAGGCATAAAAAGTCAACTGCGTCGTCTATACCTGGCAATAAGTAGTCGGTAAATGCGCTGAGAGAGCTGCGGAAGCACCCAATGACGGCCCAATGGTCCTCGGAGCTTATCAATGGCAGGTTCGAGCAGGCCGAGCACGGCTGGCCTCTATCGCACTGAATTTCCGGCAAGGAGACGAAGCATGAGTTAGTCCAGGCCCAGAGACACCAGTGTATAGAGAAGAAGAGGAGAGAGGAGAAAAGAAAAGAAGATGATGTTCCCACCTCTTTCTGAGTCGCTCTACAGCGCAGACACGGCTGTTGGTCGTGAAAGAGACGGAGCTCTCCAATGGACTGGAGGCGAGGCAAGCTGCCGACCCTGCTCCTCTTGAGCGGCGGGAGGAGGGGTTCGACATCGGCGTCGACGGCGCTCCTCGGGGCGGCGGAGCGCTGGCTTGAGTAGGCGTAGGTTATGAGGGAGTCTCGCCGCTCGGTCGACGGCGTCGGGATTCTGAGAGGAGGGAGCTTGGAGGAGAGCGCGGGGCGTGGGAGGTGCATGAGAGGCGACGGGCCCAACGGTTCCGAGGCATTGGAGAAGAAGGGGCCGTGACCAGAGGCGAAGAGCGACGAGGTTGACAACGACGAGCCTGCGGAAGAGAGCTCCGAGTCTCTCTTTGCGTGAGAGGCATGCATCCGGACGTGGCTGCTCCGATCGAGCTCGGTGGGAAAACCGTAAAAACGTAGTGGATGCACCGGTCGTCCCAGCACTTTCTTCAGAGAGGGAAGCGGATAAGCGCTGGACACAACTTTGCTGCCGCGCTCCCGCTGGGGCCCGGAGGGCAGGGTCGTGGAGCTCCAGATGCTTGTCCAGCCAAGAGCCGAACCCTGGCGGCGCCGATCGCGTAGAGCCTCTCAGGGGCTCGACGGCATCCAAGATTCTATTCCGAAGGTGCGGCGAGGGGAGGAGTGAGGGTGAGAGTCAGCGACTGGCACGGCAGGGCGAGGCGAACCCTAACAGACTCGGACCCGGCTTGTCGTTCTTCGGGCCTAACCTGACGATGGAGGTATGGAGTACAAGGCAGAGGTAGTATGGAGCAGCTCCAGCCTCAGCACCAGCTCCAGCAACGGCAACGGCAACGCACCAGCAACGGCAACAGTAGCAGTACAATATCCTTTCGAGAAATGGAATTGGGGGCTTGCATGAGGCGGGTTGGTGGCGGCGGCGGCGGGCTGCGTGGAGAACGGGAGATGGGCAGCTAGCTAATCAAGTAGCGGTAGGAGGGTCTCAGCTTACTATCGCGAACACAAAGCAGCCTCGAGGTATTCGCAATGGTGATGAATCGCGCGAGCCTCTTCCATGTCGGACATGAAGAAGGGGGGGAGAGGGGGCTCTACGCGCGACGCCAGGCCTGATAAAACATTTGCGAGTCAGCACACAGGCTCCGTTGCCGGACCACAAGAGAGAGAAAAGCAAGGCGAGTGACGGCTCGTAAGGTGCAAGTGTGTATGTACGAGTATGTGAGGGCATGTACGGAGCAGTCTCTGTATGGCTATCTTTCTGTCTAGGCCTGGTCTGGGGTGGTCTGGTTGGGGACTGTCCCGTCCTGTCCAGTCCGCTCTCTGTCTACTTAGTCCAAGTGCGTCCGCATGTAGTACTCCATACGGCATGTAGGCATGGATGGAGTAATAAGGAACCAGTGAGGCAAGGCAAGGAAACGCAAGGCGAGGCAAGGCAAGAGGGCAAGGCAAGGTAGAGGAAGGGAAAGCGTGTGCCAATCGAGGCCGGGCTCAAATGCGGACAAGGCTGTATCAGGACGACAGGGCAAGGGGGGGCGGGTGGTTGACAGGCAAGGAAGAGAAGCAGATAGAGCAGCCAGTGAGGGGGGAGGCTGTGGGTTGCAAATACGCACACACACGGGGCTCCAGCCCGTACATGTACACAGATGCAGCCGGCACATGGGGGTGGGAGGTGAAGGTGTGGGAGCTTTTGGGGGGGACGGGACAGGCGAGCCCATGAAGAGTGGGCGAGACAGCCCCGACGACCAGAGACCATTAACCAGACCAGAGACAGACGCAGATAGGGCGGACCGAAGACGAGAAACATGGAGACATACCGTGATTAACGACGTCCTACAGGACGCGCAGTTTGTGGCGCAGCATGGCGAGCCCTTTGGGTAGGTTGAGGCCTCTGTGGGAGACGTGGCGATCGCCCAGCAAGGCGGTCGGTGCAGGCTGGATCTCGCCCTGCTGCTCGACCAGCTGGGGGGGGGACGGCAGAAGTCGACGTCGAGATGCCCAGCCATGGTGGTGACTCTCGGTGGTGATGGTAATGATCATTGCCGTCCTTCTCTTTCATACTGCTTTTGCCTTGGCATCCTGTCATCGCAATGCTCTTCCTGACGCTCTGTTTGACCATGCTTGGTCGAACATTGTTGTGCTGCTCTGCGTGCTTGCATCTGCCTCCTATCGCCGGGGTTCGGCATCGCGGTCTCAGGACGTGCTGTCGACGCCGAGCCTGCCGCGTCCACGGCGCGCGCGCCCAGGGCACGCAGGGCAGCGCAGGGCTGGTGGATGCGAGCGAAACCGGTGAGCAGGGCAAGGCAGGGCAGGCAGACAGGCAGACGGCAAGCTGAGGAGGGGAGAATGTGCGCGAGGGCGTGGGATCATCTCGCGGGGAATGGAGGCGATCGGGTTGTCTTTCTGCTGTTCCCCCTGGCGAAGGATTCCCGCCGGTCCTTTATGGCGGAGCCTTGTTGGTTTTTCTCGTTTCTTTTCTCATTCAGCTTGGCCTTTTTTGTGTTGGCGATTGATGATGACACACGCTCTCTTTCTTCCTCTTGTTCCAACGTCGCTCGTTATACCGCTCGATGCTCTCCCTCTGTTCCCTTTCTCTCCCACCCCCAGACTGGCCTCTTTCTTCCCTCCTCTTCTCGTCTGCCTCCCTCCCTCGTCCTCCTCTGCCGCCCGTCCGCCTCTCTCTTGCCCTGCGCGCCTACCGTCGGTCTCGCTGTCCGACCATTCTTCTCACTTGCATCTCCCTCCTCCTCCCCACCATTTTCCCATCCGCACGCCCACAGGCCCGCGCCATCCGCACCCCCTTCGTCCCTCCCCTGCATCGTCCATTGGCGCCGTTTCGCGGGAATTGCGGGCTGGAGGCGTTTTATCAACAGGGCGGTGCGGGTGGGTTCTTCCCTTGTGTGTGAGTGTGAGTGTGTGTGTGTGGTTTTGCAGAGGGTGGGTGCTACGGCCTTCGCATGGCTGGCGAAAGGCTCAACGGTTTTTTTTTCTCTCGCGGCTTCCTTTCGCTTCTCCTTCTTCCCGTCGTTGTGAGGATATGTACATGTACAGGCACAGGCAAGGTACCGCTACCGGTGCCGCGTGGGGCGCAGCCTCGCAGGCACGGCATCCGATTAGGCGCCGCGCTGCTTGTCTGTACCACTACGCCATACAACGGGCGCACGACAAGCACGGGATGTCGAAGCAGGCCGACGGCGAGTACCGGTACGGCGGCGAGGAGAGCGCACGGGCTGATGACGGGCAGGCGAGATAGGTAGTCGGTACCTACCTACATAGTACGTAGAGACAAGGTGCACACCCACTTCTGCAGACCGAGAGGGCTCCGTAATCCAGGTCTTATTCGAGCTGGACGGGCTGGACGGCATGTCTCACGCGGGGTGTGGGAGTGAGGGTGGATGCCGGTGCGGGTGCGGGTGAGAAGCGTTGAACAAGACAAGGACAAGCCAAGACCAAGACAAAGAAAGGCAAGGACAGGGACTTGAATGACACCCCAAAGAGAGAAACGGCCCGGGACAAGGCCGCAGCTACGCACTGTGTTTGGCGCCGATAGGGTCTGCGGTTGCACCGTGTCTCAGACATCGGAAGCATGCCATGTGGCCGTCCCCGCACTGTACAGCCCCCGTTTGGTCAAGCTTGACTGGAAGCTCAACCTGCTGTGCTGCCCATCTGATGGCGTACCGTGCCAGTACTTCAATTCGTAACAATACCTGAAGCATGATCAGGCAGGGCGAGGGAGCGGCAGTGGGTTGCTGGAAGAGGACTAGCGCTGCTGCTCAAGCTAGCGCACGAAGGACATGCCATGGCCATGATGGCACGAAATACATACTGCAAGAGGTACCGAGGGCATCCATATTGTACCTACTTCCACAAACTGACGCTTGGCACCGCTCTGCACAGCAGGTGCCGCCGAGTACCAACTACCTTAGGTAGTATTACTACAATTGATACAAGCACCAAGCGATAATATCGATTGCCCTCATCATGGAGTCGCAGCCGCCACAAGACTCGCGGCACGGAATCTCTTCTCCGCGCTTGTGCGACTGTGGGAGGAGATGAGACGAGGTGGACTGACTGCACGTGCATAAGGTATAGTAGTAAGATGTACCTGTACCCGGATGACTGACTCGTCTGCTTGGGCAGATGACAGTGTCAAAGAAAGGAAAGAACAGAGAACATCCGAGAACTAAGATACTATCAGGCAAGGAAGGGCCTAGCGGGGAGGGTGACGGTTAAGCAAGAACGGAAAGGGCAGCAAGATAAAATCAAACAAAAAGAAAAAAGAAGAAGGAAAAAAAAAAAAAAACACTGAAACAGAACCCCAACCACTACGAGCCGCCTCGGAATACATCCGACGACACTAGGACAACAGCAGCAACGGCCAAGCGCACCAACAAGCAACAGCAAGAGCAGCCCTGGAGGACCAAGGGAACCAAGACTAGGAGGCCGGTGCACAAGCTCCCGACAGCCACCCCCAAGCAAAAAGAAGTCACCGGGTCTGGCTCTGCACCTCTTCGTTGCGTCTTGGCCCTTTTGCTATCAATCGGACATGGCAGGCAATTGTTGTCGTATCATCATCAGCTCAACAAATGGTCGCAGCAACACTCGTATCAGTACACCTGCAAAGATATCGATCCCCTGCCTTGTTGTCATTCTTGCCTTTCTCCCCCACCCATCCTTCGACTGCAACTCCATACGATACCTACCTAGTAGGTACATAGGTCTCGGCGTGGAAGGTAACATCACCAAGGCCATCGACTGCAGCAGCGGAGCGGCAGACAAGACGAAGTGGCCGTTCTAATTCCAATACAGTACAGACGAGTCCTGGGAATGGGCTGCGGCTTTTGTGTGCCCACGTGTGTCCTGTCAGAGTAAGCTGTCGACTCGTCCTTCTCCACACATTCACACTGACACTGACGTTGCCTGCCATTGATGCCATCGCCCGCCTCTTCCCCCTCGCCAAAAAAAAGTCAACCACCACCAAACACCACACGAGTAGAGCCGAACATCTTGGCTCTGCGTGTCTCTAGCCTCTCTCTCTAGGCCGTCATGCTACTCCCTCTCGATCCTAGCACCTCATGCAAGCAGCACCACCTGGTCCCCATCTTTTAACCGGCGTCACCTCCATCTCCCATCTCCATCTTCCTCCCACTCGTCTCGTGTCGTTTCTCGTCCTTCTTCCTCGTCTTCCTCCGGCTTCCTTCTCGCACCCCTGTCGCCGCCGTCTCGTCTAGCACGCGGACTAGTACCCGTTGAGCGTGGTGCGTGCTTCTGGGGGCCAGGGCTTGTTTTTTTAATCACCGCCTCGCCTCACCTGTCACCCAGCGCTGCCACCCAACTGACAACCTACCTCCACGCAAGCCCTGCTCACTCGTCGATGCTTGATGTTGCATCCATCCACTCATCCCCAATCATCCCAGGCCCGCTCAGCCAGCCGGTTGCTGCTCCAGAGGTACCGGGTACTGACGCGCAAAGACTTTGCCTGCGGCGATTGCTGCTGCTTATGGTGGCTGCCTGTCCTCGCACGAAGGTAGCTGCTGTACTGCATACCTACGAGTACAGTAGTACTGACCTAGGTAGGTAGCAGATGATATTACAAAGTAAACAGCCAGCCATCCATCCTACCACTCTCAGCCAGTCAAGCCAGCTTTCTCACGCACACACCGCATGCACGCACGCACGCAGGCGAAGTCAAATCAGTTCGCCATGTCCGGGTGTCCTTGTCCCTCTCGTACGAGTGCTCCATCCTCCTCGAGCAAAGTCCGTGCCAAGTCGCAGGCGACGCAACTTGGGGGGCGCCATCGGTACATGGACAAGGGCGCTGCGCTTGTTGATGCCGCAATATGACGACGCAGCGGCGGCCAACGATGCTGTCTGCCGCTTCTCAAACGGCTTCGCTAAAGCAGAATCGTCTGGAGATGCCGTCTCCCAACATTTGACTCGGCGACTCAAGATACCGCCTATTGCTGCTCACTCGCAAGAGTTCCTGTACTAGGATTAACGGTTTGGTAGGGGAAGAGAAGATCGGGGTCCTCGTGCCCTTGAAGCCTCGCCTCGCCTACAGCCTGCTTCCGACGTCCGCTCATTGTATGCTACTACTATGCCAAAGACGCGCACACGCACACACGCACGTACATACATACACACAAACTCCATCCGCGCTCGGCACATCACCAAAACGAGGAGCCGCGTCGGCCAGTTGCGCAAACGCCGTTTAGCCCGCGGCACATGGCGGTACATGCGAGGCCGCACCGGCCACGCGCCCACACACGTGTACACTCGTATGCACACACATACACACACACACACACATACCTACAGCATGCACATAAACGCTCGCGGCAAGGTAAGGTAGTATCGGTACTTGTACTTGTACTTGAGCGCCCAAGACAACGCCGACTCGTCCCGTTCCTTTTTCGCCACACCCAAGCAACCCCTACCGCTAGTCCCTCTTCTCCATCATTCCCCAATTCGGCTAGCCGCAACGCTCAGGCCAAAAGGGACCCTTTCTTTCTCTTCTGTATTTCCCTCTCTTTTTTTTTCTCCCACGCTAAGACACTTGCAGTGCCGGGCCTAATGCCAGCAAGTACCAGCGACCTGCAACGTCCCAGCAGTACGTACTGTACCTCATCCGCTCTTCAAGTGCTCCACCCCCAATCAGGAAATTCCAGCCCAAAGCCTGGCAGATGAGAATCAACAAGGGACTCGGCAGGCGGACGAGCAGCAGGACGGAACAGCCTTTTGCCTTGCTTGTCATGCCAGCGCTGCGTCAGACGGCATTAGTACCGACTCTTGAGAGCCACTCGCCAGAGATGGTCTGTGGATGCACGAGAATGTGTGCGCATGTAGGTGCAAGAGAGGACCTACCTACCTAGGTACTACTAGTTACTAGTATCTACACACACACTTGTAGGTACCATTCGTACCTACTTATACTCACTAACCCGCTCTCACATACTTGTACATACAGACACCCCCTACGAGAAGTCTTTCTTCCTCTTCTTGTCCTTTTTCACCTCATCCGCCTACGAGCCCATTCGGTACTGTAATGACCGCCTCGCGGAACCCGCTTTTGCTGCAAACTCGCGTCCCCATAATTCCGCTCCTCCACCCAAGGGATGATGATGATGATGATGCTCTTTGGACGGCTTTGCTGATCGATGTTGCTCCTCGCTTTGCCGCCCGCCTCTGAAACAAGCCATGGCGTACTATTACCACTTCTTGTAGGCAGAAACAAGGTAAGTACTTAACCTATGGAGGCATGTAATGTACTCGTACCTCGCAGTACTCCGTACGGCGTGAGCATATGCGCGTCTCATGCAATGGCACTCTCACTATCTACGTATTCTATCTGTTCCATCCGTCTGTCTAATACAAGGTAACGCCATTACATACTGCATATTCGTCGTCGTCTATCTGATGAGGCGATTGCTGGAATGTCTGTGCTCATATACAGTACCCATAAGGCACATAAAGTATAATATATGCAGGCAAGCAATCGGAAGACTGCTCCTACACGTACCTACCAAGCACGTAATATCAGACACTGGGGGGAATCAAACCTGCCAGCATGCGTAACAGGCAGGCCTCTTGTTTTCTCCCTCATCCCCCGTGATTGCAATCGCTACTGTACGGAGCAAAAGATGGGCAGACTGTCAAAGTCCAGATGATCAGAGTAGGCCGCTGAATGGAGCAGGCTATCTTGTCCCGTTTCCGTACCCAAACCGCCTGCTCGATGATGGACATGGAGACTATTAGGTATCAACGACCTTGGCTCGTCCACACATACATATTACAGATGGACAAGATTATGAAAAGCTCCGAGGGTGGCAAGTTGAATGCGTCAAGATAAAACAGCCGCCGCGTGATACAGCATGTTGACCGACCATGGAGGAATCCAAAGGCGGGACTTGGCGGAGATGTATGTATGTAATATGAAGCAGCACAAAAGGAGGAGTGATGCTCGTTTGTGGCCAGAGAGTTGTCACTACAGGTACAGCCTTGGCTGGCTGGATCAGCATCAAGCGGCGCGGTCTATCAATCCGTGTTTCCCATTGCTACCCAGCACATCCGTATATATCACTACAGACACATATACATACGCACTCACACATATACACTTGAAGACATTCAATCCTGACTACACAGTGTTTCTAGTCCTTGTAGAAAAGCATTACACAAATATCTGTTGCTTCAAGAATGGTAGCCTAGCCAAGGTAGCATCGCAGGCAGTCCAACATGCCCCCCCCTTATCGACCTTTATCCCACGGCGTTGGGCTCGTCAGAACACAACCCTCTTTCCAACCAAACAGATAAACAAGACAGAAAAGAACAAGGACCAGGCTCGACGAAGAGCCTGCCCCCATGTTTCTTCTTTTCTTTCTCAGTCGCTTAAAGTTACATCACAGCACGTTAGCCTACATGCATACCTCACATACCCTGTCTATAACTGTCGTCAGGCTATTATGGGGAGTCCGCGCCATCCATGTATGTATTACTCGTTGAAATCCTCCTCCTCTCTTCCCCGTTGCCTCCGTCGATCCATACTCTTACATAGGCAAATACTGCATGCAAAGGCAAGGTATTTGAGGCAAAAACCGACAAAAAGCGTGGGAGATGAGCCAGCCTGGCAATCCATCCATCCATCCAGCCTGCTGACTACCGCCAATCCCAAAGCCCCCCCACGCATGAGAAGGAGAAGAGATGGACATACCTAGGTACCTCATTCAGTACATCCCCCTTCAAACATACAACATATGAGACCCAAATAAAGAGATGAATCAGGCCGCGGAAGTCGGGGAAGACTAAAAAACAAGGGAATAACAAAGGTTCAGGCGGCAGACGTCCTCACTCTTTAACACGGACAAACGACGTCAGTCAACATGACTTTCAAACCAATCATCCCAGTCCAAACAAGGATACCCTACATTTCCCCCCCCCATACAAACATACATACATACATGACATTTGCATTCACTTGCTTTCCTCGGCATCGCCTTTACCTCCGCGAGTCCGCTCAGCAAACGGCGAATAAAGAGCGCCTCCCCCCCATATCCTGATGTCATCTCCAGGCCAAGTGGGAAGAAGCGCACATCAGCCTCTGTCTTTCATCTGCCAATAGAGAAGTTGCCGAGACGCCCTTTTTGCTGCATGGACGCTGAATCCACAAGCCTTGGATAGCATAATTCAACAAGGTTTCAAGGCCAAGGAAAGGGAACGATCTTGTCCCAAATGGCATCGGGAGGTGGCCAAAGGATCTCCGGTCCATTTCGTTTCGTCTCTCCACTCGTGTCTGTTTCCTCTACTCTTCTCTACTCCTCATTCTTTGAGACATTTCACTCGATGTAATTGGCGCTTATCCCCTAAACCCCCTTCGTCAAGCGTTGTCTGAATTAGAATTGATAATGATGAAGCGCATGCTAATAGCGGCTCAGGTGATAAAACAACAACAGAAACACCAATGTAAGAGCCCCCGAAAGGAGGCAAGACAAGACAAAGACAAGGGCCGCCGATGCTATTACAGCCGAGTAGCATGCTAAGCCCACGTTGAGTGAAAGCATGGCCCTTTTCACCGTCATCTCGTCTTGTCTTCTGAACCCACCCCTCCTGTTACTGTTTTGCGAGGCAAAATCAGCCAGTTGCCCATTCCCCCATTCCCCTTCATGCCACCCCGTGCTCATGATATCGTAGCTGGTTGAAAGTCCATGGCCGTCTCCCCAAAAATTATGCCGGTCCCAGTCCCATGCAATAACGCAGGACGGGACATGATGTATGAAAAGAGCACCCGCCAGCGCCAGCGCCCTCCTTGCTAAATATTAACCCCCGTGGGAGACGTGTTCCGTTGCCGTCTCTCATTGCCATCATCGCCATATCCATAGGGAATAACGTAGGCTGATCACATGCTGTGGCCAGAGCTGTCCGCTGCTTGGCAGATGGGCTTCTGCCTGAAGCCTCGAGAGCTTGACACCCAAAAACCCCAATTCCCCTTGCTTTGCTTTCCCCCCTTTCCATTTCCTCTGTCCAGCTCTATCCATTTATTATCGTTGCTTCCCGTTTCTATTTGGTCATGACCTGGGCGCTCTCTATTCGTTTCGTGACCACGTCTTCTCCCGGAGCGGCATCTCCTTTCCTGCCGCCGCACGGCTTCCATCCTCCTCTGCCTTGTAGGCCCAGTACTCGCCGAGTCTTGACTCGGCGTACGAGGCGTAGTCAAAGTCAATGTGCGAAATGGTAGCCTGGATCAGCGCCCAGATGCCCCAGTAGAAGCCCGGGATCCCGCGGAAAACGTCCACCTCTTGCATTAGCTTCTTAGTCTCCTCTTCCAGATCCATCTCTTGGCCTGACAGCTTAGCGTACGATGCAACGTATTCGCGGATAAAGGCGTGTCGCTGCGGCCGGGTCGGCATGGCCGAGTAGTCGCAGTCATAGCCGGCCCACTCGGCAAAGTGGTTGGAGATGTCAAACGCGGCAGGCGATGGTGTCGCATATTCGTAATCGATGAAGCTCACGGACAGCTCCTGGCCGGGTTCGTGGTGCATGATGATGTTGGCACTCAGGAGGTCGCAGTGGGCAAAGACCAGCTACATCGCCAGGTTAGCTTTGGGAAGAAAAAAGAAGGTTGCGGCAGACCGAAAGATACATACCCCGTCCCGTCCGAGCCCGGGGCGCTGGCTGAGCTTCTCAATCATCTCTTCCAGCTCACGCTGCAGCAGAGCCTGTCGTTCGCGCTGCTGCTCTGTGTCTGTCGGCAAGGCCAGGATCCATTTCTGCATGGTCGACCACAGGTTGGGAATCGGCTTGCCGGCCGCTGCCTTGGTGATCATGGCCTTGCGGCGGCTGTCGTCGCTGTCAGAATTGCCATCCTCGGCCGGCTCCTCTCCCTTGATGGCCGAGTCGGGCAGACACGGGACCGTGGCATGCCACTGAGCCAGTCGTCGGGCAACGGCTGCGAGCAATGCCGGGTCGGAGAGGTCCTTGGGCTGGGCCACGGTGCCGGGAACGAAGCGGTACAGCATGCCGTTGGCGAAGCGCGCCAACAGCTCCGGAGCCAGGCCATGCTTCATCAGTAGCTCGTGGTTCGCTGCCTCGCGCTCCCGGTCGATGATTACGGCGGTGCCGTTGCCGTAGGCCCGGAGCAGTACGGCCTCTCGGTCGATATCAGCCTTGGACAGGCCTGGTCGACGGTTGACGGCTTTGAGGAGAGTATTGGTGATGCCATCGGTGAAGCGGACAAAGTCGACCTTGGAGTCGTCGCTGGCCCAATCGGGGAACAGGCTCAAGATGAGCTTCAGGGCCGACTGTGAATCGCTGCTATCGTATGTGACGGGAAGGAACCTGACGTGACCGTGGGCATTGCCCTTGGTGGTGGCGGCTGGTGACATGGTGACAAGAGTTGATTGTGGGATTGTTGGCCAGGATGATGAGTTGAGAGGACGGCTGGGAAGATGGTGAGGATTGCACGTGAAACAAGAACGAGGTCAAGTGCGCGGCGATTTCGTGTTATATCGCTTTTCGTTCCTCCTCCTTCGGCTCTCTTCTTCGTGTTATATCAATCGGTCTACCGGTTTCTGGACCATGGACCTTGCAACGTTGTTCAGAGTAGGGTCGCTCAACAAACTGGCGCAGTAAACCGGTGTCCAGGGGTGCTTCTTGTCTGCCGTTCTCAGCCTGGCGGGAATGTCCCGTTGCGTCTGGTCTGTCGGAAGTGCGCTGATAAGAATCGTCGTACGAAGCGCAAGAGCAGGTAGGACGCGAGGCCTAGACGACGATGGTCGTGATTGCGGCGAACAAAGGGAGTGTCGTAATGGTATGCCAAAGCACCCGGATGGTCTCAAACGGGCTGGCGAATGGCGGGAGCGCGGGAGAGGCTGGAGGAATCGCACACGACCTGTTGCCCTCCGTAGCGGTTCGACGTTGTGTGTGTGTGTGAAAAGACCGAGAGGCGTCGAATTGGGGGTGGGCCGCTTGTGGGAAGGGTAGGACGGCTTGCCATGTGACGGTGGCTGCAATCCAGAGGCACGAGACAAGCCCCCCGAGCAATAGATTGGGGGTTTAGATTAGGGGGGTGCGAGGCGAGCGGGAACAGAGAGGGGGTACTTTGGACAGCGGCAAAATGGCAGCGAAACAGCGGCGATTGAGCGTAGACGCCAAAGTACTCTGCGGAGTGACGACGCCGGCGGCTCTCGAAGCTGCAGGGTCCAAAATGTTGGAGTCGCTGGCCGGAGGTCGCGTCAAGCCTGAGAACTGCGAAATTTTGTTGGGATACTGGCCAGCAGCTGGTGGCGCTACGCTGGATGGGGCTAGCGCAGTGCAAACATCCCGGCAGAATGGCGAGGGACGCTGAAGCTGAGCAGAGGTAGCCGAGAGGTAGACTGTAGCCAGAGCTCTGTGCTGTTATACTTGCTCAGCGCTGGAGAGGTACTTTGCACGTGCTTGAAACGTGACTGCGCTAGTCTTTGGGGGGGCATCACCTGCTAAGATTGAGGTCCCTTTTTCAGCGCAAGGGACGAACTCGTTCACCGCCCTGGTGCAGAAAAAGCCATGAATGGCAATGATACAGCAAGATGCAGAGCGACTTCAGAACGCACTGAATTGTAATGTTATTGAGGTCACATACAGTGTCTGAGGTAATCTTGCTGACTGCAAATAGGTAGCGATTACGCGTCTTTGGTCAAAGTACATGTACGGCTTACTGCTTACCTAGGTAGACAATGAACTGCCTACCTACCTAGTAACAAGCCTTCATCTGCGTCCCTGTCGAGGCACAGGCACAGCTTCCCCGTTAGCTTTTGGCATGTGAAGGCGTCTATGTGGTGTTGGCCAGCTGGTTACAGGGGCCTTTTGCAGTGGAGATGCGCCGTCTGTCGATGAGTTTAGGCCTCTCCAACTGCTGCCCCGCATTCGCTACCAACTGAGAGCCCGCTGTCCAGCACCCCAGATAGCATGAATGCGGTAATGCTCCCAGCTCGGCCTTGACAGGATGAAGCTGTAACCTTTCACTTGTACAACGTGCTGCTGTGAGAAGGATACGACAACTGTTACTACCTATGATGCCATTTCTATTCCATCAGGAAAATACTTGCGCTCTTACAATCTGCAAGTCGTCGCCGGTTCACGTTCAATACCTTTGTCATGTTGCCTTACCTATAGCGTTCAAGCTGATAGCGATTGAATGATTGGTGCTAACGTAAGAACTGAGAGACTGTATAGAGTACTCGCCGTTGCACGACATTTCGCAGTAGATGTAGGTAGTCGCAACCTCACCTTGATACACAACCAGCAAGCTCTGCTCAGATCAAGCTGCACCACTACCACCAGAGACCGACCGCAAACCGCCTAGCGTCGACATCTCAACAACTTCATGCCAGATCCAACCAGAGCCGTGTCTTCTTGTTTGTCAACTCACCTCGTGACCGTCTGCATCGACAATTCGTGGCCTCTTGTCCTGCAAGGCATCATCTGATAGACGTCAACTCGCTTGCAGCGGCGGATCCAGCGTCTACGAATTATTACACAAGACACAAGCACAACAAGCACGGACACGACGCAGCCAACTTGTCCCTCCATCGTGACGCTCACCAGCATCAAACCGCCCACCTCCCGACAGTGACGGCGACAGTGGTTGGTCCCGCCGCATCATGTAAGGCGCCCGGCCGCCTCAGCTCCCTGAATCTGCGGCCATGTCGTGCGTCAACGACGAAAACTTCCTCGCCGTCGCGCTCGTCATCAACCGCTCCCGCGATGGGCCGGCCTTTGTCTTCCACTATCCCTCTCATGTTCCCGCCCTCACCAACGGGCACGAAAAGTCGGATGTCATAGACGTCGAAGACATCCTCTTTGAGCAGATTGCACCGCCCTCCGGCGCCGAGAACGGCCCGGAGCCCGCCGAGGACGGGGGTGTCCGAGATGACCACTACACCACCGAGGCGGGAGTCCAGGTCGTTCCTTGGGAGCACGTAGCAGGCTTTCCGGCCAGGGACCTTGCGTACATCTTGACCCCGGCCAGGCCCTATCACAAGAAGATTTTTCAGCTCTCTCTCGACCCGCTGCTCTGCATCTCCTATCCAATCCACGTGCCTGAGAATGGGAAGTGGAAGAAGACGAAAAAGGCCAACAAGGAGGTTGACGATAACATTGCGCCAGACGAGCCCAATCCTCCACCTACCAGCAAAACAGACTCCAACCCCGAAAAGACCAAAGATGGTAAGAGGGACGAGTCAGACGAAGACAAGCGCAGCTCCATGACCATGTTCAACCTCGTCTTCTTCTTAGACCCCAAGAGGCACGAGGCCAAGGAGCTCGTCGACTCCTTGTTCTCCAATATTGTGAAGAAAGTCAACAAAGCATATCAGTACAGCCAGCAGCACAGTGAGTTTGTGTGGAAAGAATCTAAGCGTATCTTGGCCGCAAAAGAAAAGGCTCGTGAAGATAGTGAGTCTTTTGTCTCCGGAACCATGTGAAAAAGGGGCGCAGGAGGCTAATCACTTGCACACCAGAAAAGAAGATGAGTGCTCTATGGAAAGAACTCATCCAAAATTCTTCATTGGCAGCCTCAATGTGTGAGGTCTACAACGCCATCTCTCAGAACAGGATTGCGACATTGCACCTGGACACTGTGGACGGCATCCTGACCCCGTCTGTTCAGATTCCCGTGCCCTTCTTCGTGGCTGATCTGCCGGCAGAGGACGATGAGCGCCACCGCGGCCTCTGGCTCACGACATCAAACGCCTTCCTGAGCCAGGATGCCCTTGAGGAGCCAGGGTTCTTGGACCGCAACTTTGCCCTCCTGCTCATGGACGATGAAAAGAAGATTATCGCCGAGCTGCAAAACGACCGCGATCCCACCACTCTATCCATGATTGAGTTTGTGCGGCTCGCGAAGCCAACCGTGTCGTGAGTACTTCCTTTGCCCCCCCCCCCCCTCTGTTCCCTGTTCGTCCTGCATGTCCACGGTTCCCCTATTCTCTAACCTGGCATATCTGGTGTAGCTTTTATCAAGTCGGCCAAAGCAACATCCTCACGCTGGATCAAGTCCGCAAGTATGCCCAGCACTTCATTTTCTGGCGCCGCGCCATCGCCATCCCGCCTCTACACCCCCGCGACGTCTACATCGTCTCCCCCAACTGTGACCTGGAGAGGCTGCCCCAGGACGCCCAGGACTGGCAGAGGGCCTTTCCCCTGGCGCCGCCCCTGTCTACCTTCCTCGCCGAGCTGTCTGTGCTGCCGAGGCCGTACAAGCACATTTCGCCCAGCAAGGCCCATCGGCCGCTGTACCTCCGCATGCTGGCCTGGCTGATGCGCGGCGGCTGGGTGACGCAGCTGTGCACGTTTGCCTACGTCGTCGTGTGGCCGGAGATACTCTACGAAGTCGACTACGAGATGGAGGCAGAGGAACTGGGCATTGCCACGTCTTCTGTCGACGGAGGCGATGCCACCAGCATCCACACAACGCAGGAAAACGCCGACGCCCAGTCGACTCACTCATCACTCGCCTCGCCAACCCAGCCGCAGCATCCGCCACAACCACCGCACCAGCAGCAGCAGCAACAACAACAACAACAGACGCCTCCAGATGCCCATGCCCTATCTCAGTCTCCCTCCTCCCACGGCCCCAAGCCATCCACCACCACCACCCTCTCCGCAGCCGAGCACTCGGCCGAAATGGCCCGCCTCGAGCGCATCGCCATCAAAGCCCACCGCGAAGCCGCCGACAAGGCCACCGCCCACGCCCGCAAGACGAGCCCCGTCCCGACACCCAACCCGTCGCTCAACGACGCGCCGCACCTCGCCGGCCTCACGCCGCACATCATCCTCGACCCGAAAAAGGCCGCGGGCAAGGAGTCGCGCTACCTGGCCGCCATTGCGCGGCGCTTCCGCGACGACAAGCTCAGGAGCGGGTGGCAGCTGCTGTGCAAGTACTTTGACGGGCGGTGCGCGCTCGAGCGGATTGCGCTGCAGGAGGACATGAAGAGGAAGGAGGCGTGGGCTTTGTTGACGGGCATGAGGGAGTATTTGCTCTTGACGAGGCATTGGTAGTACAGGGGGGGATGATGCCCTTTTTGACTTGACGCCGGGCATTGCTTTGGATTTTCTCTTGACGGGATAGTTGGTAGTAGAAAGTGTGAGTGTGGTAATGTCTTGTGTGACGGATGGTTTCTACTGGATCTGATAATGGATGTAACAAACAGGTCTCTCATGACCTGGACAGCATAGGGGTTATGTACCATACATCACGTCGAAAACAAGACACATTGATGGATATAAAGAGCAAAGACTTCATCTCAGCCGTTTATTTGGTCATAAGTGGTATCTGAAAAGTAAAACCGTAACAAAGAAATGCAAGTAGAAAAAGAAAAAGCAAGAGTCAAAGCGGGAACACGCAAAAGGGGGTAAGGGGGAGGATGGGGTGATGTTGATGAGTTGGTAATGAAATTAAATACACCGGATGCAGAAAACACGAAAAGCGCAGTGGCTTCTTTAAAAAGAAAGAGCCAGGAGAATGAAATGAACAATCAAAAAGGAATGAAAAGACCTATATCAGCATCATCCCGGGTATTCTCCCTCCTTCCCCTCCCCCACCAGACCGACACTAAAGCATCGTCTGCCAGACCTTCTGACGTAGAAACAAGGAAGATGTGGGGTAAAAAACCGAGGTACTCGTAGGTAGAAAGGAAAAAAATGAGACCATAAGACCAGTCGTAGTAGGGGACATCTCACACTATGAGAGCCCCCCCTCTGAATCGTGTCCCCCCCGCCTAAAGGAAACCAACAAATGCATATCTCATAACGGGTTGTAGTACTACCAAATAGAGCGCTCGACAGCTGTAACGTGGAAAAGAGAAAACATGAGAAGAAAAGATGTCTCATTGCCCAGAGAAGGACGTATAAAGTTGGGTGTGTGTGTGTGTGTGTGTGTGTGTTTGTTGGAAAAGCAAAGAGAAAAAGAGACGCACAGTCCCTTTGTGCTGTAATGCAGTAGTATATGAAAGAACCAGTCGTCGAGGAAGAGAAAAGAAAAACAAGAGACGAGATGGAAAAGGAAAAGAAAAACTTGATCCATCCTATATGTGAAAGCCATGCCCAATGCCCAATGCCCAATGCCTGTGACACGCACACCCTATCACTTTAAAAAGGAAAAGGGAAGATAATGACGAGGGCCCTGCCGATGTAATAGATGACACCTAAAACGCCGGCCAGCATGGGCCCTTGAACATGTTCCTCGGAACACGCCGAGGCCCACAGGACCTCTTCTCCGAGGTGTTCACTGCGAAGTTGCAGCTAAACACCAGTGGCCGCAGCACAGCAGGGCGCGGAAACGCAAAATCAAAGAGGAAATCAGGATAGCAGATCGATAAGAGGCCAGGAATGGCAAGATGCCAGGAAACGGAATGGAGACGGGCAGAGATGGCAAGATGGGTGGAGAGACGCTCGGACTAATCACTCATATCTACTGAGTAAGGTCCATGTCGTACTCGTCCTCCTCTTTGAAGTGCATTGGGGCATTGGCGTCGTCATCCGGGTCGTGCCAGAATTGAGCAGTGTCTCCGATATCACCAGGCATCCCACCGCTGCCACTGCCCTCGGGAGTAATGCCAACAGAGTCGAGGCTGCCACCCAACCCATTAGTGGGCTCACCGCGATAGTCGGTGTGATGAGGCACACGCAGGCCTGAGCCAGAGGTGCGGCTGTAGGAAAAGGATCCCGTGTCGTTCCTGGTGATGGCATCCATGAGCTCGGACTGCATCCGGCGCTCGTCGTCGGTCGGCTCAAAGGGCAAAGTGCCGCCCAGCTCCACAATGGTGTTCATCAGCTCCTCCTGCTGCTGCAGCTTGAGATGCAGCATCCACATGAGGTCTCGCGTCCAGCTGACAGCGCCGTTGAGAATATCGCCCTTGTTGGGGCCTTTGTCTTTGTCTTCAATGGGCAGGCCAGTCGTGATATTGCCAGCGCCAGCGCCGGCAGCCCTCCTGGCACCGGGTCCGGCAAGCCCAGAGGTAGCGCTTGACACGCCGGTGAGGGTGGGCGACAGGGGCGTGCCGTTGGAGATGAGCTTGCGAATCTTTTCGTCTTCCAGTCGATGTGTGGGCACGAGCCTGCTGAGGTCCTGGATCCTCTCGTTGATGTTGTCACGGCGGCGGCGCTCCACGAGGTTGTGGGACTCGCGACGGCGCTTCCGCTTCATCTCCTGGGTGGACATGGCGTTGCCCACGCCGAGCTTGGCTGGCATGGAGGTGCCCCCCTTCATCATGACCTCGTTGATCTGCACCATGCTTGGCTGCATGGGAGATGAAAAGCCAGAGTTGAACGAGGCCGGAATGCTTCCGCTGGGGGTGTTGAGCCAATGGCCAGAGGGCGACTTGTCCGTCCGCAGAGACTGCGGGCCAAAGCCGGGAGAGTCTTGGGCACTGCCGATGGGGATGCTGTGCATGCTGTTGGTCTTGGGGGTCATTGGGTGTCTGGTGTTGGAGGCTTTCCTCTGCATCTGCTGGGACATCCGGGCCCTCGCCTTGGCGTTGAGGAAGTTTGGGTCGTTTCCGTCCGCCATGTCAGCGGCGGCCAGCGGGGACTGCGAGTAGGACAGCGGAGACTGCAAGGGGTTGCCAAGGGCGCGGTAGTGGGTGTTGTAGGCGTACGGGCTCTGGATGGGATCACCATCGGGCGTGTTGGAGTAGCCGTTGATGTGTGACGGGTCGATCTGGAGGGAAGAGCCGCGGTGCGACTGGAAGGTGTTTTGGTAGCCCATGTTCATGCCATGGAAGTCTTGGCCCTGGCCATGAAGGCCGGACTGGCCGTCTGAAGGAAGGCCATCCAGCAGCTCGTCATCGGCGAAGACGGCAGAGCCGCTGGAGAAGCCGTTGGTGTTGGAAGCTGTGTTGAAGTTGGTATTGGCAAAGGACGGGGAGGAGTATCCGCCCGACATGGCCAGGTCATTGGGGTCGATGTGGCCGCCATTTGGGCCAGACCCAAACTGGGTGAAGCCGTGCTGGGCCATCGCGGGGAGAGAAGTCGGATGGCTTTTGCTCGGTGCAAGAGGCTCGCCGGTCGGCGGGCAGAGAAGTAACTGGGCACGAGTTTGCCTTAAGTCTTGTCGGGTGTTTGTGAGCGCTCCTTCAGCACGCTTGGTGATTGCTTGACGAAGCGACCGAAGAGCGGTCTCGGAGTTTCGAGGGTTCGGCAGATGATGCCTGATGAGGGATCGGGTCGCGGCTACAGCGAAAGGAGAAGAAGGGAAAGAGTCAGCCCGAGAGCGCGCAAGAAGACAGTTTGGCTGCTCAGCCCGTGCGCGACAAAACAAAACCGCTGATCAAATAGCCGGCGGCAGCGACGGAGCCTGTTGGCCTGACGTGGCGCAAGCGATCGGACAGAGAAATGGAGGGACCGGGAAGACGAAATGCGTAGGAGGGGCTGACAAGAGAGAGAGAGAGAGAGACTAACTTGACACAAAAATAAGGGCACCGTTGGCGCAAGCGTTTGCGAGATGAGACACGATGCCTTGCAGACGCCAGATGCGAGAATCGAGATGTCGGATGCCAGATGCGAAGATCAAGATCGAGATCGCGGCGGCGAGAAATGCTCCAAGCGTTGAGAGGAGGGAGGAGGGAGCGGGTTAGGGGGGGGTGCGAGGGCTGTCAAAGATGCGATGCGATGTGATGCCAGCAGCTTCCGGAGGGGTTTGGCGACGATTTGCTTTTTTTGTGAGCCCAAGGGCCGAAGTCGTTCTCGGCAACTTGCTGCTAGACGCTGCTAGAGGAGCGTGCGAGGGGAAGCTAAAATAAATACCATGCAAAATAGCTCGGAATAGTGAGTGGCAGGGTGCAGGCAGCCGGTGCGATGAGGAGGGGCGGAAATGGCGGGCTGCTGTGTAACTGGGGTGCAGGCGGTGACGGGCGCTTGGGAACCCGCAAGGAAGAGCGTAGGTAGGTGAGAAAAGCGCGGGATGCGCACGAGGGTCGCGGTGCGATGACGCTGATGAGCGCCAGATGCCAGCCGCGAGGTGAAGCCTCTGGGACAAGGGTTCAAGCTGCCCTTCCTTTGCTGAGCGCTTTTTTTCCTGATTAGCCTGTCGGAGGTTCTGAGGCGCTTCCGTTGTAGTAGTGGTAGTGGCAGCAGTGATAGTAGATGAAGGACTAGAGGTGCAGAGACAAGGCGGATGAGGAGGAGGAGGAGGAGGAGGGGCTCATGGGGCTGGAGGCATGGACGAATAGACGACAAGACGACGAGACGTTGAGACGATGTTGGGAGAGGGGGGGGGGGGGGGGGGGGGGGGGGGGGGAGAAGAAACAATGAAGTTGGTGAGGGGACGAATAACGGGCCAAGGCGATCTGCCCACCAAAGTGCTTTGGTGTAGTGGTTTCTTTCTTTCTTTCCTGCGCTTCCCGTGAGGGGCGTTGCAGCGAGTCTAGATGCAATGCCACCTGCGCGGGGGAGGAGAATGTGACGGAGGGGGGGAGGGATGCAACAAGGGATTTTGGGGGGGAGGGAGGTGGACGAGGGAGATGACGGTCGATTTGACTCACCAAGAAGGGAACAAATAGTATAGATGTTGAGTAGGTCGTCGCCTATGGCGAAGTAGGTGCAGAGAGGTAGATGTAGTTGTTATATGGCGATAGGTACCTTGTATGTCTGTTGGTTGTAGTACCTTAGGTAAACCGCCTTATCGCGGGGAATTATCGTATCCCCAGTATGGTGTCTGGTGGACTGGGCACAATATAGCGCTCCGGACGGTGGGCAACGGGCGTCGCAGCTCTCGGGACAGAAGCTTCAACTCTGTTGCGCCTATTTGTTGACTGAACAAACCAATGCTGCATGCGATGATAATATGCCCTCGTTCCGTCGCTGCGGCAGGATGGCCTTGGCGTCGTCGGCTTCGGTAAAGCGGGCTGCCAAACCCTGCGTGCCGCGTAGCACAATGACGAAAGGGCGAGGACCTTCAATAGGTTGCAGGCCCACAATCCCCAAAGAACGAGGATGCGGATCGCTGGAATTGGAGAGACTTTGGCGCTCCAAAGGCCAGCGAAAGACGGGAGGCTGAGGAGGCGCGCGGGCACTAGCGGCGGTGGTTGAGATGGTAATACCTACTGTAACCGTGCTTGCTTGCTTGCTGTAGTATGTGCAGACAGAGAGAGAGCTGAGGGAGGGTCAAGGGCAATAGGTTGGAATAGTATTCCCGGAGAGATAGTAATACTAGCCAGGCCAAACTGTGGTTAGGCAGTCTGGCACCAAAGCAATGCACGATGATGCGCGTAAATGCGTCCTCGGGGTATGCTGTGCAGGAGGATGCTACTAGTAAGGTAGTAGCAGAAGATGTGAGTGGGCGCCGTGTCCAGCAGCCGCAGGTTGTTTTGTTGGTGATGTGGAGAAGGGAGGAGAGGAGGTGAGGCGAGTCCGTAGCCACAAGACGAACAAAGAGAGTCGAGAGCAGGAATCAAAAGATGGCTCGGCGCCGCTTTGGTGGGACGAGGCCTTCAAATATTCAAACTCTGGCCTTTTGTATCCTCGCCGTGCTCCATCCAGAGGTGAGGTGAGACGGCGTTCGTCTTTCTGCCTCTTGCAGCTGTTAGCAATCCCTCCCCTGCTAGTGCACGCAACAGCCAGCCGCCAGAGACGCACGTCTTCTCGGATCTGTCTCTAGTAATCTCCTCTGACCAGACGAGCTGAAAGCCGATGGCCGTATTCCTGGGTTGAGAGCGAGAGCGGTAGCGGCAGTAGCGCGCCGGTGTCGTGGTTGTTATTGGTGTGCTGGATAGGTAGGTATTCTGCCTGTTTGGTAGGCCTGTGACTCTGTTCCGTGGTGGATGGAACAGGAGAGCGAAGTCCTGTTGAGGTGGCGGCCTTGATGGAGGTGCCCGCGATAAGCTGATAGGCCGCTGAGCTGGGCGTCGACGGGCTTTGAGGCGCCCTTTTGCGGCTTTATTGTTCTTTCGGGGGGAGGAGGGCTCGTCTTTCTCGTCTTCTTCTCGCCGAGGCCCTATTTAAGCTCTGTCGCCTGCAGCCTTACTCTCTCGCATGCAGCTACGGCTGTCGGCGAATGAGGACGAGGCGCACGACTGGATCAAGCCCGATGCAAGACGCCTAGCTGACGACGATCCAAAAGGGCACAACAAAGCACAGCTGCGGGTAAATGTGAATCACGCCAGCCAAGGAAAGGTAAGGTAAGGTGTATGGCAAGGTATGGCGGTGGTAGTATGGTAGAAACGGTCCCGAGTGAGAGGTATCTAGCCCTTCCTTCGGGTCGCTCTAGATGCCGCTTGTAGATGGACCAGCCGATAATGTCCCAGATGTGGCCTAGCTGTACCAGACGGAGTTGGCGATAGTCTCTGTGGTTGCGCTGCGTCTTCTCTCAGGGCTCGTACGTGCATACGCATATGCAAGTGCTTATACATAAATGTATGTGTGATGAGATGGGCCACAGCTTTGTGCACTTGCTATCGTTGGGTCCAAGTAGGAGACACCTTTGATGCTTGCTGTTGGCCGAGGCGGACGAACCGGGCCGTGCGGGCTCTTTTTATGTAGTGAGGCGTACAGTACCTTAGGTCTGAAGTATGAGGAATGCGGGAGGACTTGTTAGGCTGCAGCCTGTGACAGACTGCGGAGAGGCTCAAGGCAAGGCAAAGTCGGTTCAGAAAAAGCAGCAGCAGATGGGAAGTGCAGATGGATGCACGGCGATGCAGGTTAAGGATCATTCCAAATCTTCTCCTCAATATCTCGGCATCAAGGTACCCGGACCTCACACTTTATACTCGTCTGTCCAGTGCCGGCAACTAAAAATACCGTATCCAAAAGTACGAGGAATCTCTGATGCCTTTCTCGTCTTCTGACTCGGTTGCGAGCGCCGCGATAGAGTGGTTGGCCCGCTCCCCCTCTAGCAACCACACCCACGTTACAGCCAGGAGGGAGGGGGGGGGAAGGGGGGGAGAGAGAGAAGGCAGAGAGACCAGGTTGAGCGTGACTCGATGCCGTTAAGACATTCAGCGCCAGGCTCGCTATTGCTCTCCGGGGGAGGGGGGTCTACCATCGCCGGGCGATATGAACCATCGCAGTGTCTCTGGTGGTCATGCGTTGCTAGCCTTCCGTGAGCCATCTACCGACTGGGCCACGCGGTCATGTAAGGCACCGGGTTCCAGAGGTCAGCCCCATGGCGATGACGATGACGACTCTGGACGCCCTGTCTCTGCTTCTGCTCTGCCCGGCTCGCCTGTGGTCTGCTGTCCTCTTGCTCTTCCCCTTGTTGGGTCCAGCGCTTAGATACCGTGGCGATGCTCCGCGTGGTGGTGGTTGAGCTGGACGAGTACGAGTGCTGTGGCTTGGTAACATAGGCAAGTAGGTAGGCACCTAGTAAGTTATCTAGTTGGCAGATCAAGTCGGCCCTGGCCAGGCACAGACAGCGATTTGATGGGCTACATACATTAGGCTACCGTAGAGATTGTCTGGGTGTGGTGTACACGGAACACGGAGCACGGAATATGAATACGGCGTCGCAGCGCTTGCCACCAACAAGATGCACATACATACCGAGATAGTACTCGTACCTGCTCTGGTGCTACAAAACTGCCCTTTTCAAGACGCAAGGTCGATCGATCAGATAGCTGTTAGTATTCCGCGACTCAAGTTCCTGCAACATTGCCGTAAACGGTTGAAAAAGTCGGTCAGCCAGCTTCGTACTTCGAAACAAAACAGAGCATGCCATGCCTCTGCGGAATGCTCAAGCCCCCCCTCTTCGCTCCGTCGCCGTTGCAACCAGGCCAGAAACTCGGCCATACCAGAGAGGCGATGACGTTGTTGGTGCCGCTTATCGCTACTAACTTATCGCCCAGGGCACCTCGAGCCTTATCCGCGCCACGGTGAGCGGCATTACAGAGGTACCTGCCCACTAACTGCGTACCTATTAGGTACCTACCAAGCGGCACTCTTCTCTCACCTTGGGGGGGACCAGACATTTCTTGGAGCTCAAGCTCACTGAACCCCAGCGGTGCGACCGCGCTAAGCAGCGCCTGGCCCAGTGCTGCCAATCATGTGCCCCCCCCTCCAACGACGCATCGTCTCTCTTGATCCCACACCCCTTGAATCTGGCCCGAACCTCCCCTCGTCAACCTTCGCGCTCCCGCTGCCAGATTCCCCATCCGAGCGTGCTCTGTCCCAATAGCAAGCAGCAGCCATCTTCAGACGACGTCCATCGCTTCAAACGCCTCCGGCCGCATTCCTCCCACCCCCACCAGCCCGTGCCGCCCGCTGCCTCCCAGCCGTCGCCATCGCTGCCGACGCGGCCGTTGCCTCGTGCCCGCGATAGTCGAAGCTTGTAAAGGTAGGCAGTCCAATACTTCTGCTTGCCCCGGCCCCCCTCACCCTCATTCTCGTCCTCTTCTCGTACCTGCTCTCAGCCACACCCAGCGCTTCTATACATATCTGATCATGCCCCCTCGACTGACCATGTCCACAGTGGAGCTAGCCAGCTTCTAAGCTCTTAGGGCTGTCATCTATCAATCGCTGAGTGTGAGCCCGGCGACAGACAGAAAGGAGAGACACACTGAGAGAAAGAGAGAGAGAGAGAGAGGACCGACACCCCCCTCCCCCTCCCCCGTCTCCCTTGGCCCTTTTACCTCAAAAGGTCTGCCGCATCGATCGGAGTGTCTTGCCCGCCCGCTGCTGCTGTCAAGCTTGCCGATTTGTCGCCGACCTCGACCATGGCTTCCAGTAGTTTTCGAGATTCCATCAACTCCCTGGGCTGGAGCCGGCGTCAAGAGGCGCCCATCACCACGTCTCAGCAGTCGTCTGGCCTTCTAGCCTCCCTCCAGAACCTGAACCCATTCCAGGATCGTGGCTATACGGTCCTTCCCACATCGGAGGCTCCAGGAGCGCCTCTGCCGGCGCCCAGTCGGCGCGAAGAGGAGGAAGGCTGGTTTGTGCGTGAGTCAAGCCTCGACATTGTCCCATCGCCTACACGGCGCGCCCTCTTGTGCCCCCCCCCTCCTTCTTCCTCGCTCCCCTGCAGGCGAAACATGTGCATTGCAGCCCTAGCTCGCACCTTGGATGCTGCATGTGATGCAGATGCTACGCTTCGTGGCTGGATGTAGCTAACATGGAGTGTAGTAAGTCGATGGGACCGCATGCTGGTATTCGCCTTTTGTAATCTGGCTGCCGCCGCCTGTTTCGTCATCTGCTTCACCCTGTTCCCGGTTCTGTCTCTGAGACCTCGCAAGTTTGTGATTCTGTAAGTCTCTCTGATGACGTCGCTTGTCTTCGTTTCGCAAAGCTGCTTCCCACCCATGTTGCTTTTTTCTTGCTGCTGCCCTAGCCCCCCCTTGCTATCCCCAACAATCTGTCCTTGACACCTGTCACACCTGTCCTATCAAGACATGCATGCCCGCAATATGCCTAGCCGGAATTCTCGGTAGACGGTATTGCATCAATCACTTGCATGCCTCCATACCTGCCGAGACCAAGCACCCCTGTTGCTGCGCATTGCTAATCCCCCACCTAGATGGACGGTTGGATCGACACTCTTCCTGGCATCTTTTGCTGCCATTATGGGGCCCATGAACTACATCTACCACCTCTTTTCGGCACCCAGACTGCCATTTACCGCTGCCTACTTTGGCTCCATTGCGTTGACTCTTGTATTCGCCATCAAGGTAGGTCCAGAGTCCCCCCCCCCCCCCTCTTCTCCTTCCCTACATCTATCCCCTCATCTTTTGCGAGAGCATGGGAGGCGGGAATGCCGCGTATCAACAAGCCGAGAAGCGTTGCTAAATCGGACAAGGTTCAAAGCACCATCCTCACCCTCTTTTCCGCGGTGGCACAACTTGCTGCCTTGCTGTGGTACTTGGTCAGTTATTTCCCCATGGGTTCCACAGGACTGCGCCTGGCAACCTCGTACGGAGCAAGGCAGGCTACGGCATGGTTGTCTGGGTGAGTTCTGGTTGAGACGTAGCATCGGGCAAGCTTGTCGCCCTGCAAAATCCACGCCGGACGCGTAATGCCACTTGGGTAGGTTCGCTTGTGTTTCGTAAAATGTACCATGGATATGTATTATGTTGGAAGCCTGGAGTTTTGCACTTCCTTGATAGCCTTCGGAACCTGGGTAGTTGTTCTCTGTAGCAATACCTCTTGAACCAAGTCCCTAAAAGCGTGCCTGTCTAGTGGATTGCCGAAGCTCGATTTGCGGCCTTGTGCATAATCTAGTGTCCATCACCAACCTCTCACGGGAAACTAATGCATGAATCTCTCCGGACATTTTTTCCACTGAGCAGACACGGCACATCTCGTGCACGTGCCAGAAACACAAGCACGTACTGGGATAATAGGCAGAGCGGGCAAGAGGTCACCTGCCATCAATGTCAAGGGAGGGGGGGGAGGGGAAGAGGGTTGGACGGAGGTCGTTGACATGTACAATGTACCTTACCTGGGTACTTTACTTTGAAGCTGTACGGAAGAAAACAAGTGTGTGTATCAATGTATTTTGTGAAGAGGAAGAGGGGGGAAAGGGTTTGGTTGCACAGGCTCTTCTTCATACTCAGGTAGGTAGGTAGGTATGTTGAGACAGTCCAGTCCAGTCCAGTCTTGGGCTCCTATTTTGTGTTGCGTGAGACCAATATCTGGGTTGTGTAGGTACATATCTGCCTGCCTGCGATGACGATCATGTTTGGGTTACATGATTTGGGATGGGTTGCTGGAGGGAGGGGCAATGAATGGCTTGAGGTTGGTATAGTAGGTAGGTGTAAAGTCCTTGAGGTATGCTTGGATGAACGTTACTTCTCGAGTGTTGATGGGAAATAATTGTTACTGTGCTGAAAGATTGTCTTGGAGTCAGAGGTAAAGTGCTCAGGATGCCAATAACAACCCCCGGACAAACTTCCCATGAGATTTTTAGTAATACTAATATCCTGCAAGGTGAAATTCAGGTCGCGCAGCCAGGTTTTTGCGTAAGCCACAGCTGTCCTGAAGAAGCAAACAACAGGGGCCACCGGAACAGCTTTTTGATTGTTGTAGTACCTAGGTAGGTAAAGGTAAGTAAGGTAGTAGTAGCAATAAGGTGCTGAGATGGAAAATGAACCGAGTGAGGTGAGGTGGCTTGAACGGATACCCGGACCCGGCTACCTGGAGGTACCTAGAGATAGTCAAAGGAAAGACAGAACGGCGATACAACATGATTCCCAGAGTTGCTTCTTTTGTCCTCGGGTTGCGAAGCACAAAGACCTCGTATCCTGGATAATACTAATTCCGTCATAGGTAGTGTCTATTTGCGGTGCCGGGTTACGGGGCATGTATTACACACATTCGTATGTACGCAAGGGCTGGACTGAGACAAGTCAAGTGGCCCTCGGCAAAGATGACTCTTACTTACATGTACCAATGTTAGCAGCATGTTGCGGAGCATTTGCTGCTGCCGACGGTGTTAAACCTGCTGTTACGGTACCTCGTCTCACGTACCGCTGCCTCGTCGCCCGTGGGAGTGCATGAGAGATTAAAAGGCGCGTCGGCAGTACCATTGCAAGAGGGGGCCGAGAGCCAAGCATCACTGACGAGAATCAAGCTGTCTTCTTGTTGACTACCTTCATCGGTATACTTTCTATGGCCAAGAGACAGACCCAAGGTAGCATAGTACAAGATCTGTTGATGGAAGAGAAAGACGAGAAAGTTGACCTTTATCGCGGGTTATCGCTTGTCGATAAGAGCGATAAACGATAAATGGCCCGAGGATAAGGTGGACAACAACTTGAACCTACTACTAACCTACGTAAAATGCCGTGTGAAGAAACAATCTCCCGGCATCCTGCCTGCTGATCACGAAGCGACATCAAGGAGCCCGATCGTGTGAGACACAGTGGCCGACATCAGTGATTACCTGTATGTACAAAATTAGAACGACCACCTACGCAACATGCATGGCCGCAGAGCGAGAGCCTCGCGGGTTGCGGGCTGCCAATGGGAGCTCTGACGATTACCATCAGAAAATAGCTGCGACACGCATCCTGACCTGGCGGCGCATTCCGGCGGAGCAGGAGAGAGAGGGAAATGCTCCGGGGAAAAAGCGCGCTGGATAATAGCCTGCAAAGTGCAACCTCTGCGCAAGCTTGTTGCACCAGAACAAACCAGAACAAAGGCAAGCAATCAAGAACTGTAAGTAGGTACCTAGTAGGTAAGGCAGGTATCAATCTTATGAATTGAGGCGGCACACGGACACGGCCCATGAATTTGAATGAATGCTGTGAATGAGAAATGACTCGGCGCTAGAAAACGGGCATGTCTCACGCCGGCCGCCAGCCTCCAATTCGCTGCTTTGCTGGCTCAAGGCTTGGTGCTTTTTGGTATGTACATGTGTCACTGCCAATCCAACACCAAAAGTGGCCCAAGGCAGGAAAAAGGCAAAAAAAAAAAAAAAAAAGGAAGACAAAAGAAAAGAAAGAAACCACTTTGCGCCACGGCATGCCGAAAAAACCTGGGGGATCGTGAAAAGTCTAAACCATGGCAAACGCGATACTCAACAAGGCAGCGCTATACAAGGACGACGCATGGCAGCCTTGAGGACTGCACATGGCAAACAGGCACCAAAAAGTCAATTTCACGACGACGTCGTCTATAATAATTTGTGTATTCTGAAGCACAAACAACACGCAATCCCCCTCTCTGTCCGTCTCGCTCTCATTCATTCTCTTGGTCACCACAAATGCCTACCTACACACTACCGACTCGACCCGACGTCCGGTTGCCCAGATTTGCCTATTCGCGCATTTTGGCAGCCCGGCCGCTCCACTCGCGGCGCAGCCCAGCCAGACGATTTTGCATTTAGCATCCAATTCCATCAAACGCAGCTGTGGGCCGGCCTCGGAAAGCCCCAGCGCTTTGCCCTCGAACCGGACAGTTCGAGTTTCGAATGGATTGCATCAGCTCAGCCTCTCTCTGCGTCCCGGCAAGGGCCCTTGTTACCTCGCTGTCTAGACGTCTTACTGGAAAATCATCATCATCCTCATTATCACCCGGGTGTCAACGCTCTTTCTGTTCCCAATAGTACCTATAGTAGTACCTATCTCACTCTTATTAATCATCGTCATCTCCCTCCCCTCCCATCCCCCCGGCCCATTCCTCACAAAGGCATCAGCGCCCAGCCTCTTACGACTCTATATCCTCTGACCTACTTATTTGGGACCGGCAGCGCTGTAAGAGCGTGCTTCCATAGGCCCGCTAGTCGGCTGTAGGGGCCAACCACGCTCCGTAATCCAGTGCCCATTCGCCGCTGTAACTCGCGCTCCGCTTTCCATCAGCACGCTCTTTGGCCCTCTGGCCGCGCTCTCGGGGGGGGGGGGTCTTCTGTGGTCCAGAAAGCCCGCCGAACCCGCCAAACCCGTCTAGGCGCCCTATCGTTAAGGTAAGAGAAGAAAAAAAAAAAAAAAAGAGAGGGGAACCAAAGGAAAAAAAAAAAAAAGTTTTATTATTCACACAACCGCAAAAAAATTATCAACTTGCCTCTTTCGTTTGCCCTTTGTGCCCTCTTCATCTTCTTCACCACCAACTTCTTGTCCAGTCAATTCTCCAGGATTGCCGCGTCGGTTGGCCTCTGCTTGACCCTCTTCCCTGACAGGCTGCGCCGCGACCTGTCAAGCAGCGCAGCTGGTTTTTTTTTTCTTCCTTTCCCTTCTGGTTCTTCCCTGCATTGCCCGCGTGCCAACTACGCAACGCCTTGTCTTCCTGTCGCTGCACCCCGGTCACCTCGCCTCGACCCTCAATCCGGCAGCCTGTTGTCGCCTCTCCCTTTGGCTGACTGACTCTGTTGCTCCGGCCTGCGTCTCTGACCGTCTGCCCTGCGACTCGCACCGCTCTTACGTGCGACACCTCGCTCCCCAAGCCTTCTCAAGCGTGCGAACAAGGCCACCGACCTGAGGCGCCTTTTGCCGACCGGCCGCCTTTCGTGTCTTTTCTCGACCAGTTAAAGAGGTTTCGGGCCCCTCCGCCACAACCTTTACCGACGTGATCTTGATCCCTTCGCCTGGGCTCGAGAGACGACCGTCACGCTTCACAGCTACGGATCCCACGCATTTTTTTTCCCCCTTCCCTTTGTTTCTCATTCCGAGAAGCAATTGAAGAGAGAAAGAGAAACGAGACAGCCCAGCATCTGCCCTCCCACAGCAGCAGCATCGTCGTCGGTGTCTGGTGCATCTTTAGCGATTAATTTTCCAAACTCGCCAAAGGAACCTCCAGAGCCTTCTGCCTTCCACACAGACAGCTTGACCGCGACGAGGTGCGATTTGGGACTCTTGGACCGAGGATCCCGTCTCTCGTAATTCGTCAACACAGCTTCATTGGGTTTCGCTATCGCGTTTCCTTCCTTCGTTATTCCCCTTCACCACTCCTCCTCTCCATCTCGGTTTCCATCAAAAATGGCAACCGCTTCAGCTTTCTCTTATGCGCAGGCCGCCAAGGGTCAGGGCACTGCCCCGTCAAATGCTCCTTCTGGGCAGCCCGTCCAGGACGCCCAGCCATCAGCAGCCGCGCCCAAGGCTGCCACAGACGTCGAGAGCGCCACCGAGCCCGCCGAGGCCGCTCGGAGCGCCGATTCTCCTGCCACCACGGAGAAGCAGGACGGCGCCAGCGCCACTGCTCCCGAGGCCGAGCCCCGGTCAGAGGATGCCCAAGAGCCGCGCCGCGAGCCCGTACGGGACGATGAGTCCGGTCGGCTAGATCGTCCCTGGCGACGAAACGACAAAGGCACGAGGTCCTCGAGCACCACCACGCGATCGGTCGACGAACAAGATGCCAGGAGGCCGCGGAAGTCTAAGAAGTCCAAGGCTGCCGAGAAGCAAGCCAACGACCAGTCAGCGGCAGACAAGGACCAGGAGCCTGAGAAGGAGGCTCCCAAGGTCGAACTGTTTGAGGCGCCCATTCCTTCTGTCAACATCTGGCGGCAGCGCGCCGAGG